TTGCTTGGTGCGTTGGTTGTGGTCTAGGACACCGAAGTGAAGAGGAATCAGCCCTTTTACTTGTGAGATTAGGACTAGCAAGGATAACTAACAGACAGCCTGGTTGTCATATTCAGTTCCATCCCATATCTCGAGCGTTTGTGAGGAGAGGAGACTGTGTACTGGCTCCCAAGGCAGCGGTTCAAGGTGTGAGGAAAATTGATAATCTGTTGGTGAATCTCGATCATCTATGGTCATCAGCATTCCTTGTCTTCGGATTCAAATCAGAGCCGCCATTGGTCCAGCTAAAAGCCACTGATATGGTAGTTTACATCAAGAAAACGGCTCTCCCGTTGGCAATCACAGCTTTCACGGCATTTTCCAGGTGCAACTCCGCACTGGAGCTCCTGAAAGTCTGTACCAATGTGTTAGAGGAAGTGGAGAAATCGTTCGTGTCTCAGATACAACACTGGCGCCATGGCTCTCTCTGTTGGAAGAAGTCTAGCAGGAGGGTCGATGAATCCGCGTGGCAGGACGTAACTTTGTTGAAAGCCACATTGCTCGAGACGAGAGCGAAACTTCTGTTGCGCGGTGGACATTTTGACAGTGGAGAGGAACTGTGCAGGACTTGCATCAGTATCAGGACGGTGATGCTTGGCCACAACCATGCACTCACCTTGGCAGCACAAGAAACACTTGCAAAATTGGTCAGAATGAGGAGCAAGATATGATCACGAACGTTTGGATGTCCTTGTATTTGCCACGATAACCTCAGTTTTGTCTACACAGCAGTCATGTAACAAACAGTTACTACAACTAGCTAACGACAATCTCATTTCTCTGTACATTACCACTTCCTTTGTTGATCCTAATCCCATTTTTCTTTATTCAATCTTTACCCATATTGCATCACATTACACTATTTTAGGGAAAAAAGAACAAAGAGGTGCTAATATCATCATCATTGACAAACAGACAAGCCACAAGCTTTCACAATCTTCCGGACTTCTAATTAGTATAAAGGGCACATGACTCATGAGAAAACGCATTTAATACATCGGATTCTCTTCTAAGCCGTGTATTTTCCAGATGGCATATTCATTGCATTGAGACAACCAACCAAACGAGCAGGTACAGATCTCAGTATCGCAAACAGTACTGAAAAGGACAAATAAGCCAGGAAGATGTGGTAGGACCATGACAAACATCCAAAGATAGGTATGTGTAAAGACTAAATGAAATCAGATTTTTTTCTCATATAAATTACCTGGGTCAACGGACATGTTCTATTTTCTACTTGGATTAACCAAGTTCATCTGGATTTCGGGACCTGTTCAATGAAGCAAAAGACAGATTGAAGTACTACACAGATGATCAGTGAAGAAAGTTAGAAATTAGTCATTCATATGATAGAGAAGCATATGGCAAAGCAACAGCGAGAACCAGAAAAGCTTTAACAAGAAGGCCTCAACAAGAAGCCAAAGTCATCTAATACAAAATCAAACCAAAGAAAACTTTGCACCTCCCATTGATTACATTCCACCATCCACACACACACACACACACAAAACAAATAATCAGACTCAATCCACACCAAAATGACGAGAAGCAATCAAAGAAGTAGCTTGTCTTCGAAAAATCAGATAGCTTTGAGGGAAGCCAAAAAGAAAATTAAGAATCGAACACCCGTAGCAAACAACGAAAACAAAAATGTGGGGAGTGGAAAAAATTCACCGGTGGTCACAGTCAGACCCGATCAAGCCTCCAGCGACGGCATCATCCTCGTCGAGGAAGAGTCCGTCGGATTTCCTGAAAGCGGCGTGAAAGGCGCACAATAGCAAGCCGACGCTGACCCCCACCGCCAAGCTCACGGCGGAGCTCGTGAACCAGACGGCCCACACAGAGGCTAGGGCTAGGAAAACCACCACCATGCGATCGCCAACCTGGAAGCCCCAGAGGATCAGTGGATCTTCTCTGAAATAGTGGAAAAGAAGCCAGAAGGCGACGATCGCGCCGACGACGAGGAGCGCGACGGGGCTGCCGATGAGAGCGAGTGCGGCGCACGCGCCGACGACGAGCGAGTAGTTGACAAAGAAGTAACGAAAGTTCGTTCTCGCACGGATGAAGACGGAGGTAATGGATTCTGGTCGACCGAACTCGCCGGAAGCTGCGAATTCCGACCAGGGACGGCGACGCGAGACGGCGGCGGTGAGATTGTGGATGGATCGGGAGATGACATCAGCGGGAGAAAGCGGGATGGATGTGTAGGTGCTAGACGGAGACGGAGGCATCTTCTCCGGCAGCTTCGACGATATCGTGACCGGTTTGACCGCCGCAAAATGCCGCCGGAGCAAATCGAATCCGACAAAAGTTGAGAGGAATGCGCGTCTGACGACTTTTTGGTCAACCACTAAAAAACATTCCTCTACCGGCCAATGAAACGCTGCCAACTCATCGTCACCACTTTCAAACCCAACATATAATACCAATTGCAACGACTCCGCGCCGCCCTTCAAGATTTATACAATTCTCACCGGAGTTATAAACGGAGAGATTAAAGTATGGAACTTTTTAGAAGGGCTATTTGAAAAAATCAATATATATATATGTGTGTATATTTGGTGGAATGTGATTTGTATTAATAACGTTAGTTACAGAACATGTACAAAGTTGTATACAAACTTGGCAATCGTGGCTTTCCCACGACTCCTATCATTGTTTGGGTTTTGCACCCAATTTTGGCACTGGTAAATGTCTCTTGGTGGCTGTGGCCAGCAATAACTTGCCAATTGACTCCAGATTGTGATATATATATATATATATATATATATATATATGTATACATCGTAATAAACCAATGGAATATTACGAAATTTAAATAATAAAACACTACAGCTATCCAAATATTATAAGACGAGATAATATTTGTACTTTAGGAAATAAACTACTGTTGGGCCTACTGTTAAAACGGGGTTTACATGCCTAATTGTGTCTTTTTTTGTAACTAAAAATCCGGGTTTACACCCGATAACCCGGTTTGGTTTCTTGGTACCCAGATTTCCAAATTCCGGCATAGGAGCTACAGAATGTAATATATATATATATATATATATATATAATCTACTCATCTGATGTTACACAGAAGAAGCTGTGGCGGACTCAGAAAGGCTTGTCGTAGCCCCGAGCCGGTGGATGGTCCCAGGCTTGCAAGAAAGCTGCAACAATAGAATTTTCAGCGATGGTCTCATCAAGCAGTTTAAGTGAAAAAAGACAAAACAGTGAATGTGTGCATCGACTCAAATGCTGATGAAGAGACAAAACATATCATGAATCAGACAGAATAATGCTAAAAGAATTCAAAGAGGAAGGAAGCTTACTCAGTGGTATTTCTCCAAGTGACATGAATATCGAATCATCATCAGACTGAGGAAGAGGAACCTGGTCACTTCCGAGTGTTCCCTGAAACAATCATGCAATTATCAGATTCAAACTGTATGCACACTTGGATTCATTCACAGGCACACCGGAGCGAATTGAAATTCTGAAAGAGTATACCTCCGAGTTTTGAAGGCCAGCCTCGTTATCCGGCATATGACTGTGACTAATGCCTCCAGACACTTCATTGATTGCTGTGTTCATTGGAGGGATGTTTCCAAAGGAATCGAGGAACTCTACCATCATGAGCCCTTCATTGTAATCCGGCATATCATTATGGATTTCGTTAGCTGCCTGAGTTTGACGAGAAAAGCCCGTACAAGCAGCCTTTAGCCTGCACAAGTTCAGTTAGAGACTCCACTACAAGAGTAGCATATCCAAATATGTCCACAGTGGAGGAGGTTAGAAAGAGAGAGATGCATACTTTCTCTCCGCATTACCACAGGCATCGGTCACTTCAGGGGAATCATTCTCCAAGTCGATCACTTCTATCTCTTTACCATTGCTCATCCGAGTAGTGTGCTCAACAGACTTGCTAGAACTGCTTATCGAGCGATCAAACTCGATTTGAGAAGATTCCCTTTTCGGTGCTGAAATGGCAGGAAAAAGGATCAGAGGGTTGCCAAGTTTGTTGTCCTTCGCATCCAATGTCCCCTCAAGATTAAGATCACAGATCTTAAATGAACTGGGAAACAACTCCTGCTCTTCTCCATACCCACCACATGATTTCCCGACTTGAATCTGATTATGCGTAGACTTATCAACCAACTCATCATGAGCAATGCCCTTCATTGCCCTGTCCAACACTTTCTCTTCAAATACACGTGCTCTTTCCTCTTCTGGGTCCCTTTTTATTTCACTTGCTTTAGCTTCAGAAGAAAGGGACGGCAGCCACTCTCTCTGTCTCTTTGCTCCTCCTTCCATCTCACAGTCTTCAGCAGCCCTTTTCTCGTCTCTTTCTTTCCCCATCGAATGAGATCTATGCAGATCAGCCAACTCCAGTCCTGAATTCTTTGCAATCTTGTCCCTGAGAATGCTGTCAGGGAAAGAACTAGACCTATGACATTTACTCTTCTCAGCCATATGAGCATGTCCCAAGTCTCCAACCGGGTTAGTGGGGTTAAAATTTTCGTCGCCAGCATTGTCAGCTTTTCCAGATGAATGCACTGGAGACTCGCATAGACGTGGGATATGATTTTCTTCTGCAAGTACAGAATTACAAGAGCTTCCCTTGATATTTTCACTCAAATCATGTTTTGGGCCTTTAGCAGTTAAAGAAGAGCGTGTCCTGGTAGGCACCTTGGCAAATTTACAGAGGGTTACCAAATCAAACCCACTCTTGATGGACCCTTCATCTACCGCCTCGTGTTGCTGGATAGACCAGCCATCCACACCTGCCCGGTCTTCATTCTCTCTGCCATCGCCATTTCTACCCTTCACCTCTCCAGACCCAACACTCAAGCTAGAGGAACCTTCAGATACTTTTGAGATTTCCCCATCATGCACTATATCTTTCCCAGCACTAGAAGAACACGTCTTAGATTGGGCCTCATCCTGAAGATTGTACTTGTCCAACTCAGACTCCGAATCACCTGCTCCTCCACGCTTTCTTGGAAAATCACCCGAGTTTGACCTCTGAAACGAGCTAGCATTATCTTCAGCAAGTGGCTGTTCTTCACGATGCCCAGACACAGAATCATCATAAGCTTCGACTTCAGAAGTCCTATTTCTCTCTGACCATGATCCACTCCTCCCATAATCAGAGCCATAACGGTTGGACCTCCTTCCCTTCATGTAACTTCTGGACCCCGTTGAGCTATAATCATCTACAAACCTCCTTTTATCTATACCAGGGGTAAACATACCCATTCGTGTTTCTTGTGACCTAAAACCCTGAATCTCTCCTGCCTGCTTCCTGAAATTATCTTTCTGCCATTTACCAGAAAGCACGGTTGGTGGTAGGACATCCTGAGAAACCAAATACTCTGCCGCCAGACGACCAGCTTCCATGAAAATATCACCACCACTTTTGCATTGCAGCGGTGGAGTAGGTGGAGGCGGTCGATTCTGGTATGACTTTGGGTATGCACGGCCACGCCCGTATCCACGGTTGAAGCCACGATGACCTGAACCATAAAATCCATGACTGCGCATTGAACGATCTGGCGAAATTCCAGAGGCTGACATTCCCATTTCCATTGAACTAGATCTGTAGCCATTTCCAATATCACGGTGCCTAGCATGCATCTTTGTCCTCAGATTAATATAAAAATCCAAGGCTCCGGTTTAAGGAATCACAAAAGTTATGCAAAAGCAAGGTCGCCAAGTGAAAACATTGTCTGAAACCCAATCAGTTTACAAATAACTTTAACGTTCCTGTGACCTAGAAGGCTCGAGTCTGTAATCCGACAGAAATCAAGAACACAACAACAGCAGCAGCAGCAGCCACTTCAATTTTGCTTCCTCACTGAACAACCTGAGTAAAACACCATGTGCTCTAACTGGTGATTCTCGGACCAGTCTTTAGCTCCCCGTAGAAGCAGAGGGCCTTAAATATTAATCAGCCAAATCACTGAACAACGGGGCTGAAAATCTAGTTTACTGCAAAAAGTATATGCAAAACGATGGATCTCAAGTTCCTGACTGAGTAAAAACCTAACCTCTCTATTACCAAATCCGATTATCAGTACATCCCTGTGCGATTCCTTCGCAGGAAATTAACCTCGCCTGTTCGGCGATCTTCACTTAATTTCCTCGTCAAAGCCAACAAAAACCCTAAGAATTTCCAGGAGAGAAGTGGATTCCGGTCAAAAACTAGCAATCAGGATAATATTCCGATCTAAGGATTCCGACGACGATGATGAACACCAATCAGTCCACTTTCATCCCGAAATTTACAACGACGAGAAACCAAACTTCACTGACACTTTCCTTCTTCTTGTTCGTCCGCTTTGATACCTTCCCCCTCTTTCCTTCACTTTTCCTTCGATATTATACCGATGACACGTCAGCTTGTCCGGCATGAAGCACGCGCCTCAGGCGCGTGAGCCCCAGGCCCCGACTTCTCCTTTTGCAAGTCAAAACACAGAATAAAAAATGCCGGAATATATTTGTTGGTAAATTCGTGTTTTGGTTTGGAATTTAGATTTTTTATTCGGGCTAGATAGATTTGACTTTATTAAATATAAATTAATGATATTAGATTTGACTTCATTAATCATAAATTAATGTATCATATTTGACTTTGTTAAATATAAATGAATATTATGTATGTAAGTACACATATTTTGTTAAGATTTTTTGATAAATATAAAGCAAATATACTACCATCATTCACATATTTACAAGGGCTTATAAAAAAATATCCTTAAGGTGGCTGGAGACTTGCAGTCTTCCTCATAGATATTATTATCAGGACTTTGAATAATTATGTTCTGATTTCGACCGTCAAACTCAAAGGTAACATTTATGTCATACGAAATAATGAAACCCTCTACATCAGACAGAGAGTTCGGTCTTGGAGATCAAGATGCCATCACTGTCAGCGTAAAGCCACTCCCCATCTCTGATCAGAGTTCCTCCAATGTGTACAGGAACATGTTTCTCACCATGTCCCCTCTTAGATGACTTCAATGGATTAGATCCCAATGCCCTAACGCCGATATCGCAGCCATTGATCTCGTCAACGTCCCTTACACATCCATTCACTACAATCCCGACCCACCCGTTGTTCTGAGCCAACTGCCCGAGATTTCCCCCGACAAGGGCACATCTCATGCTGCCGCCTCCGTCTACGACAAGGACTCGGCCTTCGCCTTTTGTCTCGAGGAGGCTTCTTACAATTACATTGTCCTCGAAGACCTTTAGGGTAAGTATTGGTCCCGAGAAGCAACGCCTTTGGCCATACATTTGGAACATGGGTTGCAGACAACGTAGGTCTCCGCTAGCTATTAAGGCTGCATTGTTATCAACTGCTTCTGCTGTTGCGAATGCAGCCATGGAGATATGCTTTCTGCATCCAGTAACAAGGCTTAGAGCTAGTTTCATACAAATAGCAACAGGAAACCGAAAGAACAACGGAAAAAGAATTGGATTTGCATGAAAACCCGACATACAGAGATTAGAGATGCACTGAGTCAGTAAAGTAAGGAACTTTGGCAACCCCATACAAGTAGGTAAAACCCGAGACAGTCCTAGATTCAATGGGCCGTGATGGAGCATTACGGGCAGGAAATCCGTTCTTTGTAAATATCATCGGGAAAAATTGAGATACACTCGTGCCAGGGTTGCCAAACTCTAACATGTGAACATAGCAAAAGGATACTACATAAGAGCATTCGCATACTGACCTTTTTTTTCCTATATGGACAAACTCACATTCTGATGTCTCAAAATGCCCAAAGGTTACACCTTTTGATTCAGAATACCATGAGGATAACGGGGAACCACAGACATCAAACGTTAGCACTTCTCATACAAGTTAATACGCTGTTCTTCGATGAGTAGACATAAATTCAACGATCTAAATCATTGACAAAGAAAATTCACAACAAACGCGGAAGAACAGACATCGGATATTGAAAGTAATACATGATCAACTTGTCTGCAATCCATGGCAGAGCTTAAGATAAATAACAAAAACTCAGGCATTCTGTCAATTGCAGTACATTAAACCGACGGGGCTAAACTTCAATGGCACCACGCTCATTGATCACTGGCATTGCACGGATTGATGAAGAGGGTTGCAAAAGATAATGCCAATTCTCAAGGATCAAGCCAGAAACTATCGGAATTCCTCAAGAACAAAACAACAAACGGCAAAAGAATGTAGGGTTCACTTCAATCAACAAAGAAAACTACTACAAATTCCTGAAACCAGAAACCGGAGAGGGGAAAGAGGGCATGGATTACTTAAACATAGACCAGGCACGCATCAACATAAACCCTTAGGAACAAACCCAAAGTACCTAAAACCGAAAAATCAAAACTTTTTTCAGTGGAAAGAAGATGAACACGCCTCTAAGGAGCAAAATATCAAACACCATGCAGTCACTCGAAACTACAAAACCCATCTATCATTTCCCCTGAGATTCATTTGGGTTTCAACACAATCATATCATCGCCACCGAGATGATCACCGATAGATAGTTGGATGAGGAAAAAAATGATGATGATGATGAAGAAGAAGAAGAAGAGGAGGAGGAAGGAGGATTGCCTGTGAGAGACGAGTTCGAAGGTTTCGGCTTCAACAATGGAGGAGAGTTTCTACTTTCTAACGCAACTAGCTATGTAAGCATATACACATACATACATACATGTGTCATTATACGTGCGGCTTATCATCAAGTTGTCGGTTCGGATCATTTCATAAGTAGGTAGACCTCTGGAATGGTCTCGTCATATAATGGGCCTATGAATCGGCCCAAATGATTTTATGATCCTTCCATAGGCCCATTAGGCTTGTGAGTCGGCCCAATGGATTTATGTGAATTCAAATACTCTATGGTTGTGTTTTTCATGTTTTTTCATTATTTCCAAATTACACGTAACACGCAACCAATGATATTATATGAACAACAGATTTTTCTGGACTTTTTTTTTTTTGCTTTTTTTCCGATTTTCTGCAATTGACTTTTTTCAGGAAGTTAAATCCAATGTTATTTCACTTCGGTTTTGCTGCTTTCCATCAGTTATTTTATGTACATAACATATTTCCAAATCTGGGATACACCCGGATATCCGGTTTACACCAGGATAACCGGTTTGATTTTCTACTTTGTGCAATACCCAGATGTCCAAATTCTGGGATAGAAGCTACAGAATATAATACAGACAAGACCATATATTCTACGAGTACGTGTATATATATAATCTACTCATCTGATGTTACAAAGAAGCTCTGACTTAGAAAGGCTTGCCGTAACCCCGAGCCGGTGGATGGTCCCAGGCTTGCAAGAAAGCTGAAACAGTAGAATTTCACAGTTGATCTTCAAGCAGAGGCAGTAGAAGTTAAAAAAAGACAAAACAGTGAATGTTACATTCAAATGCCTCTCTCTCTCTCTCTCTCTCTCTGCGTGTGTGTGTGTGTGTATTGTTAGGTGAAACAACTTAGATGTGGTAAAAGGTTGATGATTGCTGATGACGAGACAAAACATATAATGAATCAGACAGAATAATGCTAAGAGAATTCAAAGAGGAAGGAAGCTTACTCAGTGGTATTTCTCCAAGTGACATGAATATCGAATCATCATCAGACTGAGGAAGAGGAGCCTGGTCACTTCCGTGTGTTCCCTGAAACAATCATACAATTATCAGATTCAAACTGTATGCACATTTGGATTCATTCACAGGCACACCGGAGCGAATTGAAATTCTGAAAGAGTATATACCTCCGAGTTTTGAAGGCCGGTCTCGTTATCTGGCATATGACTATGACTACTAATGCCATCAGTCACTTCAGTGATTTCTGCGTTCACTGGAGGGATGTTTCCAAAGGAATCGAGGAACTCTACCATCATGAGCCCTTCATTGTAATCTGGCATTTCATTATGGATTTCGCTAGCCGCCTGAGTTTGACGAGAAAAGCCCGCATAAGCAGCATTTAGCCTGCACAAGTTTAGTTAGAGACTTAAGCTATATCACAAGTGTGAACTACATGAGTAGTGTGTCCGCATATGTCCACAGTGGAGGGGGGTTAGAAAGAGAAAGATGCATACTTTCTCTCCGAATTACCGCAGGTCTCAGTCACTTCGGGGGAATCATTCTCCAAGTCAATCACTTCTATCTCTTTACCATTGCTCATCCGAAGAGTGTGCTCAAGAGACTTGCTACAGCTGCTTATCGAGAGATCAAAATCTACTTGAGGAGATTCCCTTTTCGATGCTGAAATGGCAGGAAAAAGGATCATAGGGTTGCCAACATTGTTGTCCTTCACATCCGATGCCCCCTCTAGATTAAGGTCACAGATCTTAAAAGAACCGGGAAACAAGTGCCGCTCTTCTGCATACCCACCACATGATTTCCCGACTTGAATCTGATTATGTGCAGAGTTATCAACCAATCTACCACAAGCAATGCCCTTCATCGCACTGTCCACTACTTTCTCTTCAAATATGCATGTTCTTTCCTCTTCTGGGTCACTTTTTATTTCACTTGCTTTAGCTTCAGAAGCAATAGAAGGCTGCCACTCTCTCTGTCTCTTTGCTCCTTTTTCCAAATCACAGTCTTCAGCAGCCCTTTTCTCGTCTCTTTCTTTTCCCATCGAATGAGATCTATGTAGATCAGCCAACTCCAATCCTGAATTGTTTGTAATCTTGTTCATGAGAATGCTGTCAGGGAAAGAACTAGACCTATGACATTTACTCTTCTCAGCCATATGAGCATGTCCCATGTCTCCAACCGGGTTAGTGGGGTTTAAATTTTCGTTGCCAGCACATTCAGGATTGTCAGCTTTTCCAGATGACTGCACTGGAGACTCACATAGACGTGGGATTTGATTTTCTTCTGCAAGTCCAGAATTACAAGAGCTTCCCTTGATATTTTCACTCAAATCATGTTTTGGGCCTTTGGCAGTTAAAGAAGAGCGTGTCCTGGTAGGCACCTTGGCGAATTTACAGAGGGTTACCAAATCAAACCCATTCTTGATGGACACTTCATCTGTCGCCTCGTGTTGCCGGATAGACCAGCCCTCCAAACCTGTCTGGTTCTCATTCTCTCTGCCATCGCCATTTCTACCCTTCAGCTCTCCAGACCCAGCACTCAAGCTAGAAGAATCTTCAGATACTTTTGAGATTTCCCCATGCACTATATCTTTCCCAGCACTAGACGAACATGTCTTAGATTGGGCCTCATCCTGAAGATTGTACTTGTTTAAGTCAGACTCCGAATCACCTGCTCCTTCATGCTTTCTTGGAAAATCACCCGAGTTTGACCTCTGAAACGAGCTAGCATTATCTTCAGCAAGTGGCTGTTCTTCAAGATGCCCAGACTCAGAATCATCATAAGCTTTGACTTCAGAAGTCCTATTTCTCTCTGACCATGATCCACTCCTCCCAAAATCAGAGCCATAACGGTTGGACCTCCTTCCCTCCATGTAACTTCTGGACCCCGTTGAGCTATAATCATCTACAAACATCCTTTTATTAACACCAGGAGAAAACATACCCATTTGTGTTTCTTGTGACCTAAAACCCTGAATCTCTCCTGCCTGCTTCCTGAAGTTATCATTCTGCCATTTACCCGAAAGCACTGTTGATGGTAGGACACCCTGAGAAACCAAATACTCTGCTGCCAAACGACCAGCTTCCATGAAAATATCTCCACCACCTTTGCGTTGCAGTGGTGGAGTAGGTGGGGGTGGTCGATTCTGGTATGATTTTGGGTATGCACGGCCACGCCCGTATCCACGGTTGAAGCCACGTTGATCTGAACCATAATACCCTTGACTGCGCATTGAACGATCTGGTGAAATTCTAGAGGCTGGCATCCCTATTTCCATTGAACCAGATCTGTAGCCATTTCCAATATTACGGTGCCTACCATGCATCTTTGTCAGATACATACAGATATAAAGTTTTGGTTTAAGGAATCACAAAAATTATGCAAAAGCAAGGTCTCCGAGAGAAAACATCCGTCTGAAACCCAATCAGTTTATGAATAACATTAACGTTCCAATGGCCTAGAAGCGTCGAGTGTGTAATCCGATCCAACAGAAATCAAGAACACAACAACAGCAGCAGGTATTTCAATTATTCTTCCGCACTGGACAACCCAAGTACAACAAACACCATGTGCTCTAACTGGTGATTCTCCGACCAACCTTTAACTCCCGGGAGTACAGGAGGGGCTCAAGAATTGATCAACTGAATAGCTTAACCGGGGTTGAAAATCTAGTTCACTGCAAAAAGATATATGCAAAACGATGGATCTCGAGCTCCTGAGTCAGTAAAAATCTAACCTCTCTATTACCAGATCCGATGATCATTCCATCCCTGTTCGATTCCGTCGGAGGAGATCAATCCCGTGTGTTCGGAGATTTTAAGATCATTTCCTCGTCCAACAAAAACCCTAAGAAATTCCAGGAGACAAAACATTTTTCTGTGGAAAGCAGAAGAACCCGCCTCCCAGGAGCAAAAGATCAAACACCAAGCAGTCACTCCTAACTGCTAAACCCTATCTAACATTTTCCGTGAGATTCGATTTGAGTTCCAACGAAATCAAATAATAGGCACCGAGATGATCACCGATAGATAGTTGGATGAAGAAAACAACGATGAAGAAGAAGAGGAAGGAGAATTGCCTGTGAGAGACGAGTTCCAAGGTTTCGCCTTCAGCAATGGAGGAGGGCTTCCAACGCAGCTAGCTTACAACACATTCATACATCGTCATGCGTGTGTTTAATAAGCAAGCAGGTACACTTCCGAAAGGGTCTCGTCATATAATGGGCCTGTGAGAGGGCCCAATAAGCCTGTCAGGCCCAATTGGTTTATGTCTTATTTCTAAATAACTTGTAACATGCAACTCATGATAGTATCATTAACTAATTTATGATCATTTTCCATCTCTTAAATTAACCAAAACAAGGAAATTTAAAATTTTAATTAAATTTCTTGTTAGATACATTATTTATTTAAAATATTATTTTTATTTTTATTCACTCATTGCGAAAATGGGCTCACAAAATAATATATTTTAACATTGGGATTATACAAACATGGCATGATTAAAGTATAACCAAAGTAACACAACACAAGTGGGGATAACAAATTGGCGAGAGTCCCTCTATGCAAAGCAACAAAGTAGTAGAAAGTTAACAAATAGCAAAAAGAGAAATATGCTCATAGATATTTTGAGTGGTGAGAGTTATTTTCGATAATTTCCTTTATCCTTTTTAATAATTTTCTTGCATAACCTATAAATAGTTTTGATCATTATATTATTCTGTTCCCTAATTTTCTAACAAAAGTTACCATTATAGTAAAGAACAGTAACAACCCTGCTAATATTTTTGGAAAAACAATATTTTATAGATTTAAATTCTTATTGTTAAAAATACAAATAATATGATAAAAACTAGAGAACATAAAGATATTAGTTTACATTCACGTTAAAATTAACATTAATTTCATTAATTTTAAATGAATCATTAAAATTAATATAAATAATCATATACTAGTTCCATTTATAATGTAATCATTGCAAACTATATATTTGTTATAATATGATGATATCCTAAATCTGCATATTATTTCCGATTCCTAACGTATTCTTATTGACAAACGACATGCAAAAATAAATGGGACGTACGTTAGCATGGGCGGATAATTGTGAGAATCTCCTGCGAGTAGGCGTATGGGACTTATCGAGGCGAACCAATGATATCAATTGTAATGCAAGGGAAATTCATCATATGTATACGTGGCACAATCCTATTTGTGGATTTGGGTCGAGAAAAAAAACGCTTGCAAATCATCGTCATCATCATTTCTTCAACTTTTTTTTTTGGAGTAACAATCACAGCTCAATCAAATGGCCTGATCTTTATTGCTCTCTCTCTTCTCTCTCTCTCTCTCTCTCTCTCTCTCTCTCTCTCTCTCTCTCTTTATATATTTTTCATCGTCCAAGATTCCATTCATTTGTGTGATCATCGCCCACATCACAAATCCTCTTCCTTTTCGACTGATTTTCGTTTTTTTAAAAAAAAATCTTATCGTGTTTTTGTATAAACGATGAGGGGAAAGGTTGGAGCTTTGTGTCTGGCTGGTGGAAAGTCTTGAAGATTTTATCTAACTGGGCTGTGAAATCTCTGTAGTTTTTGTCAACAAACATCATCATTTCGTTTTCTGGTAAAGGAAAAAAAATTATATTTTCCCCCCTCCACGAGAGAGAGAGAGAGAGAGAGAGATTGTAAAGGAGAGAATTTTTTTTTATTTACTTTTTTGTTTCTTTGGGTTCATGTGGTGACACCCAGAAGGCAGAAAGAGAGCGAGATAAAGAGAGAGAAATGAAGAGAACTCTCCCCGTTGTTTCAAATCTCTCTCTTCTACTGAATTAGGGAGAATCCGATCGAGGTCGGGTTTTTCTCCGGGCCGGATCAGGTCGGACTGATGGTTACGGCGGCGGTGTCGGGTCGTGTTCAATCAGTCACGTGATGGATGGTTCATCATTCTGAATCACCCTCTGGTTTTACTTACCTTCTGGTTTAAGCTAAATCTCTCAGTTACCGTAATATCACGTTGTCTAATGGTTTCTCTGAAGAGTTCTAATCTGGAAAGTTTCAGTACCGAGACAACACATAATCTGGATCGTAGATTACATTTCTCTTGAATCTTCTTTGTTGTCTATTACATAAATTTATTGTGTTTTATGCATATTTTCCATGTCTGATCTTGTGAAGCTTCATGGGTCGATCAGATTCTTTGTTTCCTTTCCTTCTTTCTCTGAGCTTTTCCATAGATTCCAAGGATTCTTCTTTGTTTGTACATGTTTCTGAATTCTTTCATTGTTTTCTTCCATGAGTTTCAGCTGTATGCAAAATCACAGATTGAGCAGGCTTTGAGGCTGATTCTTGGGGTTTGTGTCATATGACTGGTTTTGATGATAATGTTGCTGTGATGGATGAATGGCTGCCCTCTAGCCCTAACCCTAGAGCCATCTTCACAGCCATGTCAGGACAGGAGGAGAATTCCAAGCCTGTCCTGGAGATAGAGCTTTCTCTGAATCATGGCTATGTGAAGGAGGATTGTCTGCAATCTAATAATCTTCCATTCGGCGAAGAGAAACCGGGTCTTGGTGAAAGGATTGCTTCCAGAGCTGGCGGGTTTAACGCTCCGAAGTTGAACACCGACAATATTCCATCTCCCTGCTTGACAATCTCTTCTCCTGGCCTTAGCCCTGCAACCCTGTTAGAATCCCCTGTTTTCCTTTCCAACCCCTTGGTAAGTTGTATGGATTGATGGATAGTGTAAGATGTTTTTGATGATTGTGCAAAGAGTTTGGATGTGATTTCTGCAGTGTTCCTTCATGGCTTTCAACTGCAGGCCCCGACATCTCCAACGACGGGAAAGTTTTCGTTTTTCCCGGGTGGTAGCAGCTATATGTCGCCGTCTGATCCTTCTGATAAAACTAAAGACGAGTTGTTTGATGATATCGACGCATCATTCACATTCCACCCCGTTTCAAGATCTTCGTCCTCTATCATCCCGGGCAATACAGCCAGTGTAAGTTCGAGCATCCTTAAACATATGTTTCTGATATCAGTTTTGACCGCATAAACATCTGATAAATTCTTTGTCTTGCATTGAATATCTATGCAGGTCTGTCATGTTTCCCAGCAATCCTTCCCCAGTACAGAGATTTCGATCAATTACGGTAACTGCAACAACTCTCAGACCGTGGAAGGTGTCGAGCTCGGTTCTCAGGACGTAGAAACTGTAAATCTCCATGGCAAATTTCCTGGAACATCAGCCGAGATTCATAACAGTGGGAAAGACGTTGACCCAGGTGAGGTAAGGACACTTGATGATGCTCAAGACGAGGAGCAAAGACGGAAAGGAGGAGACTTGGTGGTGGCTGGTGGTGCACCGGCCGAGGATGGATACAACTGGAGGAAGTATGGGCAGAAACTGGTTAAAGGGAGTGAGTATCCAAGGAGTTATTACAAATGTACTCACCCGAATTGTCTGGTCACGAAGAAGGTTGAACGGTCCCGTGAAGGTCACGTTACGGAAATAATATACAAAGGAGCTCATAATCACCCGAAACCTCCTCCTAACCGACGGGCAGCAGCCATCGGATCATCGGGCACGAGCCTTCTTGACTTGCAGATTGATGGAACTGAACAATCTGAACAGCAGCAGAGCAGTATGGGCAGAGATGATTCTCCATGGCTGGTTGCACAACAAGCTGGAACTAATAATGAGAATGGTGAGGAGACATCACCGGATTCCACCACGGGATTCGAGTCCGGGCAAATGCAGGTTCATGGCGGGACCCATCGGTATGATGATGATGACGATGATGATGATGGTGCTAATGATGAAGATGAGGATGATGATCATGTGATGCATGGAAGTGAAGGAGATGAAACTGAGCCGAAGAGACGGTAAGGGAGAAAGAGAAAATGACGATGGAATCTTCCATTAAAACGCCTCAAAGATTGATAACGGTGAGAGGTTTTGATGGCAGGAAACTCGAAGAAGCTTACGCAGAAGAGATGAGTGGAGCAACACGAGCTATCCGTGAGCCGCGAGTCGTGGTTCAGACAACGAGCGATGTCGACATCCTCGACGATGGATATCGATGGCGCAAGTACGGTCAGAAAGTCGTCAAGGGAAACCCTAATCCGAGGTTTTTCGATCAAGAACTCGATGATCTGATTGTATAACTTAACACCCAAGAAATCAAATCAAGATAATCCGAGAATGTAAAAAATGAAACGATGAATTGCAGGAGTTACTACAAATGCACAGGTCCTGGATGTTTGGTGAGGAAGCACGTGGAGAGAGCTTCTCATGATTTCAAGTCGGTCATTACATCATACGATGGCAAACACAACCATGACGTCCCCATGGCTCGCAACAGCAGCAACCATGGCGGTTCAGGTGGCTCATCGGCTCAGACGCAAGTTCACCAACCCGAGCCACGCAGCAGGTTCGAGAGGCCCGTCACGAGTAACCCTACATTCGTCCGTCCTTTCAGCTTCCAGCCACGGCTCGGACCGCCTCCTCCAGGAGGGTTCTCGTTCGCTTGTTTAGGGCAGACCGGACTGCACAATCTTGCAATGCCGAGTTTTCCGGTTCATCCGTACATGGCGGGGACATCGCAGCAGGCGGTTGGCGAACCAGGGCTGATGATGTTGCCGACGAGAAGTACGGATCCGAAAGTGGAACCTGTGTCGGATACAGGGCTTGTTGGCTTGTCCGGAAGTTCATCTATTTACCGGCAGTTCATGAGCAGGTTGCCTCAAATTTGATGGAGCTTTTTTTTTCTTTTTCTTTTCTTTTCTCTTATTTTTTTTTTCCATAAAGGTATGGGTTTGTTCATAGGGAATCAATTTTCTGATGTTTGTTATTAAAAAATCTTTAATCTTATTTATTTCTCACCTATATATATATATATTATATGTGTGTAGGGTCCACAAAAATGGGCTTGAGCCCATTCCGTTGGGCCCAACTCGTTTTATATATATATTTTTTTATTTTTTTTTATAGAAATTTAATCTACTGGATATATTTAGTTGTCTTTTTGTTTTCTCTCCACATATTATATATTAATCTAACGAAAACATGCATCTCTATTCGATTTTACTAAGATATTGATGCTCCGAGAATTTTTTTATTTTTTTTATTTATACATTAATAAGATAAATATATATAAAAATATATAAAAAAACATATTAGAATGATACATCAGATTATTTGTTTTTTTTTTGGCGTGAACATTTCCCTTCTAACGGATAATAATTAAAGTGACGGTCGTTTTTATGTTTTGCAAAGTCTGAATATTAATTCTTTTTAAAATAAGTTTATCGTGTGCCTAAAAGTGCGTGTGGACTGTATATATTTTTATAATAATATTGAATTTTTCATTCATAACAATTTCTGAGTTTTTTTCGCGAAACAAAAGGGGGAAGAAAGAGAGGCGGAGGAGACGATAAAGCAACATAGGCGGTTATTGCGGCTGCGTCGGCGTTGGAGATGGCGATGAGGGACCTTGTCACCGGCGGAGCCGCCTGCTCCGTTCCCGGTTCCTCTTCTTCCTCTAACCCTCTCGGTGCTCTCACCAACGCCCTACTCGGTTCTTCTTCCAAAACTCAGGTTTGCTTCTTGATTGGACTCCGATTCGAACTAGTCCCCGTTTTCTGTACGTCGGTTTTGGGATTTCTTGTTTCTCAGATGCAGTTTTTCTTCAGAGCACCTGTAATTTGGGTTTTGTCTGTTTTAATTTACGTACTGCAGTATTCTGTTCTTCAACTCAATTTTACGTGATTTTTGCGTAATTTTGCTGGAAATTTGGATGCTTTCGGTTGAAATTGGTTCGTACTGATTTGTTTTTGTTTTTGAATTCTTGTAATTTGGCCTGAGATTTTAGTGTTTATCATCTGGAAGGCTGAGACACTAGCTTATTTGATGAACAGGAGCGGCTTAAGGAGATACCGACTGCAACCCCATCAGGTTCTGGGCCACAATTTTATTCCGAAAACGAACAGCTGAGAGCGCTTCCTGGGTCTGAGTTAGATCAGCCGATTCTGCAACCCGGCGCTCAGGTTTTCATTGTTCAGCCTTTTATTCCAAAATCTCATCCGTCGGTCTAGTTTCGGCTTTTGTTATATGGCCTTCATATTGACTCGTGAGTTTTTCGATCTTTTATCAGGGGTCGGAGTTCTTCCGTGGCTTCCGTTCCGTGGATCAGAATGGTCTGGCCGCTGCTTGGGATGAGGTACAGCATGGTGGACCTATGCCTCCTGTGTCATCTCTCTATGAGCGTCCAGTTCAGCCCACATTTGAAGGTTTTTTTTTATTTGATTTGTTACTCGTTTTCTATTCCTGTCTTTGTTTATTGTGATACATACCCAGTAAGCATTCTTATTTTTTAGCATTACAACATGGGACCTAAATGAGTCTAGGTACTGGGGTTATGATGTTGAATACGTTGGTAGAGTCTGTTAATATTAGCATTTTGTTTCACCCATTAATCTTTCGTCGCGAAACAGAGGAAGATATTATTTGACAAAGAAAATTATGGACCTATTGTCAATCACCTGTCTTCATTATAACTGCAAAGTGAAGTTGTTCACCTTCCAAGCACAGAATATAGAAGAGAATATCCTTGTGCTTGCTTGATTTGTTCTGTGCTTACTTGTTGCAGGACCTCCACAAAGAGTCTTGTCAAGCTTTCTGCATTCATTTGTTGAAAGCAGCCGCGGTGGTATTCCCTTTCGCCCAGCACCTCTTCCAATGCTGGGATTGTCAGCAAGTGACAAGCAATGTATACGTGATCGTAGCAGCATAATGGCCCGGCATATTTTCGCTGATAAGAGCGAGGACTTTATCAATGCTCAGGTTTGCTGTTTATTTTTATTTTGTTAGCATTACTTTTACTTGCTTTATATTTTTGGCGTCAACCGTGTCTAGTGTGATTGTCCTCCTTTTGCTTCTCTTGTTTATGACTTTCCTCTTGCATCTCTCCTCTCCTGATTGCCTACTGAATAAAGTGTTGGCTGTTGCTTTCTAGGTAAATGCATTGTTATCGTCTCTTGATATCGACAATGACATGCAAGCTAGGGGACATATTCCTGGGAGGTTCCGGGAAATGGAAGATTATTGGAATGAGTCTCAAGGTGTCATGAGACCTGGTCCCCATCCGGCTGATGGTTGGGTTACCGAGTTTAACCAGCATGGAATGGATCATGGTGGTCCTGATGCATGGGTTAAGTCTTTCGAACAACAACATGGTATGAATGGATGGGTCTCTGAGTTTGAGCAGGTAAGCTTTCAATTTTTTCCTTTTGTCAGAGTTAGCATGCCCGTTCATGTGTTGGAAGTTTATTTCTTCAATTGTTTGGAAACTTCTGTTTGATTGTCCAACATAGAAATTGAACTTGTCCTGCTTTCAATGAATGTTACATTTACATATGGGGATTTAACTTTTGGCATTGAATATTAGCTAAGCAAAGGCCTGATCTTTATTGTGGTATGATTATGAAAGATAATTTGGATTTTGTGCTGATTGTTTTATGCAACTATTTAAGTTTGCAATGTTATGTAGAAGATAGTTTAAATTTGCCATATATTGGTAAATACTGTTGTGTGATTAATGATGTTTCTGATTTTTCAACACCTTAGTTCACCAATACATAGTCCTGTACTTTTTATGAAATTGATGTACTCAATTTTCTCTGTTATTGTTCTTGATTTTTTTTATGGACCAGTCTCAGTTAATGTCAGACCAAATGAGAGGGATGAATATGCCAAACTTAGCAGCAATGGAGCAGACTCGTCAACTTGCCCAAACACTTTCCCGGAACGAGGATCCGAAATTTCAGGTGGTTATAATTTACCACTATTATGTATACATGTGGTTGTGCTTTCTGAGTAAATTTCTCTGGAACTTCTTTATTGTTAACATTCCTGTTAATAGTGATATCCATTTTTTACAATGTTGTGGTTTCTATCGCCATTGTGGAAAACTGTTCTGTAATTAAGGTTGATGTACTGGTTTATACTGTAGATGTAGGGGTTTTAGATCATTTAAGTTATGACGGGGCCAAAATTGTGCTTTTTAGCGTTTCATGCTTTCGCTTGTCAAATTGGTGCCTAACCTGTGTAAATGATCAGAGAAAATTGTTGGTCATGAGATATCAATGAAGGTCTTTGTAAACATTGTCTGTTCTCTCTTAAAGTCTGTGCAGAGCTGTCTTCTCAAGGCTTATGTGAAGATTTTGACAAAATGTTTGGTGCATGCAGAATTCAAAATTCCTCCAGTTTGTTTCAAAGATGAGCCGCGGTGAACTTATTATTGATGACAATCAGGTTAAACCAGCATCAGCACCTGGGGATTGGGCTACGGAATATGAACAGCAGTACATGGGCCCTCCAAGTTGGGCTGACCAATTTGCAAACGAAAAGGTAAAATGTTTATAGCAGAATAGCAGAGCATGCTCCACTTTTTTTTTTTTTGGATAATTCGGAAGTTTACCAAGCCTTTTGCCCAAGTACTTTTGCCCAACTACATGTTCAGAGGGCCGGAAAAGTCCGCTTGAATGTCCCTCTCCATGCTTGGATTTGAACCGGGATAAGAGCATGCTTTGCATGTTGTCTTACCACTAGGCCACACAAGTTTGGGTATCATGCTTCACTTTTTGGGTTTCCCATAGCATACTAGTCCAATTGTTTAACCGGCACTGCTTTTTCTTCAATGAAGTTGTGTCTTTGTAAGTGAAGTTTCTGGTGATAAGAAAGGTGTTATAGTGGATCACGGTTTCTTTTTCTGTTAATATGTTTCATAAAGGAACTCAATCTTCTTGCGTATACATTTTGGCAATGACACTATGCCTTGCAGTACCACAATTTGAAGCTTCTAACGTAATTTGGTTGGTTAAGAACACCCTTTTCTTTTTTCTTTGAGAAGCATCAGTTTGTTGATACCTCTAGCTTATAATTTTGTGGTTTTTAGCTTTCTCATGGTCCTGAACAGTGGGCCAACGAGTTTTCTACTGAGAGGGAACATCAAGAACCGATTGATGACCAATGGGTTAATGAGTTCTCGAAGTTGCGTGTAGATGACTGGGTAGACGAATTTGCTGAAGGACCTATGGGTGATAGTACTTCTGATGCATGGGCAAATGCTTATGATGAGTAAGTCCGCTAAATTCCTGTAATCTTCTTTAATAAATTAACTCTTCAGTTCTGCTAGTCTAGTTCTACTACTATATGAATAATTAAAATGGAATCTGCTTGTTTCTGCTTGTTTCTGGTTCTTTTTCGATGTCATTTCACAATCCATGTGCTCTGTGCCGTTGCTGCCGGAATTATTAACTTCCTCGATTATTTCTTGGATATTCTTTGTTATTTCCTTATTGATTGCCAGTGGCACAAAGAAAAGATCTGCAGTTCTGAAAGCAGTCTATTTGCTAGTCATTTTTTTTAATTTCGTTTTTACCATTCATTGTGTGTGTGTTTATTTACTGAATCAAGAACAAGGTTTACTGCACATTAATGTCGTAAGTAATCGGCAGCAATGCTCAGGATTCTCTAAGCCTTACCTAATCATGTCCTATGTAGGTTTCTAAATGAGCGAAACATTAGCAAGCAGCAGTCTTCCAGTGGTGTCTACGTCTTTTCTGATATGAACCCTTATGTGGGTCATCCAGATCCACTGAAAGAAGGGCAGGAATTGTTCCGGAAAGGGCTTCTGAGTGAAGCAGTACTCGCACTGGAGGCCGAGGTTATGAAAAACCCTGAGAATGCTGAAGGCTGGAGACTACTTGGAATCACACACGCAGAGAATGATGATGATCAACAGGTGAGAGAGGTTTATTACATAGATGAGAGCAACTAGCTATATCTGATTAAGAAAGGCTTTCCAGTTCTAAAATCTCGATCAATACCTACGTAGGCTATAGCAGCGATGATGCGTGCACATGAGGCGGATTCCACAAACCTGGAGGTGCTTCTTGCACTTGGTGTGAGCCATACAAACGGTCAGTAACTGTTGTGAACAATAATTTTCCACAAAATGCCATCGTCCTAGTTTGAATACCCATCTTTTTGCGACTATGATTGAAAATGTGTCTTGTGGTATTAAATTCTTGTCTCTTTGTATCTACAGAGTTGGAGCAGGCAGCTGCTTTGAAATTTTTATATGGATGGCTACGGAATCACCCCAAATACGGGGCCATTGCACCCCCAGAGCTCGCAGATTCTTTATACCATGCCGATGTAAGTCCTTTTTCTTTTGGCTCCTTTGCTTCAATATACCTCAAAGGGGTACATACTTTACCATGACCTCTTTTGAATCTAAGAAATCTAAAATTCAATAGGCTTTCATAGTTTTTTTTTTTTAAAATTCTTTCTTGGCCAAATATAAGATGCTAATAAAATCTATCTGTGGGTTGATGGACTGCTAGATTGCCAGATTATTTGACGAAGCTTCTCAGATGGCTCCTGAGGATGCAGATGTGCATATAGTACTGGGTGTCCTCTACAATTTGTCGAGAGAGTATGATAAGGCTATTGGCTCCTTCCAGACTGCGCTTAAACTAAAACCAAACGATTATTCGCTGTGGAATAAGCTCGGGGCCACTCAAGCCAACAGTGTTCAGAGTGCTGATGCCATATTGGCTTATCAACGGGTAATCTCATTCTCGACGCTTATTACATCTTTTTTTTTTGTGTTCATGAATTTTTTCATGTTATCCTTCACCCATACACGACATACTTTCCATAAGGTATAGAATCATATAGAGTCGGATGCATATAATAGATTCAACGTTGTAGTTTCTAAGGCAATATCTATTGAATAATGACACCCGCAGGCTCTAGATTTGAAGCCGAATTATGTTCGGGCTTGGGCAAACATGGGGATCAGTTACGCCAACCAGGTCGGTTTCTTTCTTTTTTTCTTTCTTGATGGATTATTTGTTGTATTCAGGAGAATATATCAAGACTGAAACCCAATGATTCATATATCTTCCAGGGAATGTACAAAGAATCAATCCCATACTACGTTCGTGCGCTTGCAATGAACCCAAAAGCCGACAATGCATGGCAATACTTGAAGATCTCTTTAAGGTAAACGCATCAGTTTCTGTCGAGAATTTTCCTTAGTTTGTTGTCTTTGGTGGCTGCGTTCTTGATTGAGAGAGAGAAAACGTATCAATAACACGTTTATACTGCTGCCTGCTTCCGCAGTTGTGCGTCGAGACAAGACATGCTGCAAGCTTGCGAGTCGAGGAATCTCGATCTCTTGCAGAAGGAGTTCCCTCTGTAGATGTATATACATATATGTATATCCAGACAAAAAGGGGTATCTTGTCCGATCTGATGACATCATCATCATCATCAACCACCATGGGGGATACAGTTTCGAATCAAAATTCTTTTTCGAGGGGGGATTCAGATGATTATAATAATGTTTTTTTCAGCGAAGATAATAAATATATAGATATAGATATATATCTGCTGGAAATAAAATATGATTGACAAACATTCAAAAGGAAGGATCCAATTTGGGAGAGTGTGATTGGGGAATCTTCTAATCTGAGGGAAGCAGTAAATGCAAAGAGAAGAAACAACAGAGAAACCTCGTGAAAAACAATACAGTACCACTTCACTTTTCATGTGAGTCCCATTAAAACAAAAACTTCACTTTTTGACCCCTAAACTTTAAGAAAGAGATCATCGCTACACCGCTCCACTGGCATTCACTGCGCTCACGCCTCCAATGGCGTTTCCCTTCTCTTTCGTCTTCTTCTTCTTCTTCTTCTTCTTCTTCTCCGGTTCTTTCATACCCACAAAACCAAACAGCTAAAAAACGATGAAAGATCTCTCCTTTTTCTTCCTCAAGAACTATGTCGCATCCAGAATGCGACGACGAGGAAACTTCGGAAATTCCTGCGGTGGAGGCGGCGGATCCACTTCTACTCTAAACCAACATCAAAATGTGATGGAAATGGGTTCTTCTTCAACGGCCGATCACGGTCTGAGTTCTCCTACAACGTTGGAGGAGATGATCATTCAACTGGAGATGGAGGAAGATATTGCCAGAAGAGCCAAACTCAGGGATTATTACTACAACAGTCACGATAATGATCATCTTTCGCAGTTATATAGTCAACCAGTTCGCATGTCTTGCGTTAACAGCTCCGATATCTTAAGGTGCCTCTTTGTCTTTTTTAATGTGTTAAGGTTTCAGTGTCGGTTTTGTACGCATGTACGGTCCGTACTGATGATGATGATGAGATATTTTCCGACAGGTCAGCGAGGAACGCGTTGAACCAGTATCCACGCTTCTCGTTGGACGGCAAGGACGCGATGTACAGGTCGTCGTTCCGAGACTCCTCCGGTGCTGACGTGGCGAGAAAGAGGAGAGTGGACGGCACGCGTCTGCCTCGGACGGTGGCCGGCGAGAGAGTGGTGTGGTGCGAGCCCGGTGTGGTGGCGAAGCTGATGGGCCTGGAGGTAATTCCGGTGCCTGCGAAGGGCAAAAGTGGAAAAGAGAAGTTGGGTACTCTGTTGAAGAGGGAGCGCCTGAGGATGAGAGATCGGACGGATGAGAGGAGACCATCTTCCTTCGGTTTAGAGATGAACGGCCGTGATGGCTTCAGAGTCGGCACGACTGAAGAAGCCTCTTGTTCGAAAGGAGGGTTCCGTGGCATGAGATCTGTCGATGATGTGTTTGGGTCGCCACGTGGTGGTGGTGGTGATGGATGGCCCACTCTCCGTTTCAGGTAGAATCGCCATGAGACGACGACGTTTCGAGGTGTGGAATTGGGCCTAGGTTATGGGCCTTGACCGGACAGTGCAGGGCTTAATGGGCTAAATTTATATACTGCAGTGTTGCGCATGCATTGACTTTTGATTAAAAAAAATTAAATTAAACTCTCTTAATATTCCGTATTTAATTACTAATTAAAATAAGACCCTAAAACAAAGTTGATTAGATTAATCAAACTGCAATACTATAAAGTTAGAGCTGCTTGGTAAATGGTGATGATGATGATGATGATGATGATGATGATGATGATGAGGTGAATGGTGATCATGATGATGGAAATAATACCAATGATCATCATCATCATCGTCGGGATGGGGAGGCGATTGATTTGGACAGGGATTCGAGTCTATCCATAGGAGACGGCGAAGAAACTCCAATACGATATTGCAGTTGCTTCAGGGAATCCGCGCAGGGATCGTTTCCGAGTACGAGAGCTCTGAATATGCCCAAAAACCCCTACTTCTCTGGCATCTCTTGGACATTACTTCACTGGACCAGGTTTAGACCTTTTGATTCAGCATCTGTCTGGAAATGATCCGAACAGGCAGGGGACACCACCTGCACGGAAAGAAGCCGTGGAATCTCTCCCGACCGTGAAAATACGGGAGCCTTTACAATGCTCGGTTTGTTTGGATGATTTCGAGAAGGGAGTCGAAGAAGCTAGAGAGATGCCATGTAAACACAAGTTTCACGGCCGGTGTATATTACCATGGCTTGAGCTTCATAGCACATGTCCAGTGTGTCGGTTCAAGCTTCCTACTGATGAGACAAAGGCCGATCCTCCTCCGGTACGAGCCTGGGCCATATCCGTGGAAGAAAATGGCGGCAACGACGTGGAAAGGGAAGATGAGGGTAGCAGCAGAAGATTCTCTTTCAGGTGACCTTTAACCGGATTATTCTCTTCTTCATCCGCTGAGCCATCCGGACCTCGTGGATAAAGTGTCTTAATCAGACATCATTAGATGCCGAAACCGGGAACCGGGTTTGTCTTGTCTTCCTTGTCGGAAGCCTAGCTCTACTTGTCTATCTGGGTTTAACTTGGATATGGCTTTATGTACATATTGCTGTTCAATCAGATCATTGGGGGAAAAAATGGAGGAATCTCTCTTAGGTTTGCTTCCATCTCCATCTCCATCTCCATGTTTGCCAGCCATTCTTACTGCACATCACTGATCACGACTTCATTTCTAATGAAATCTACGCTGATTTGTTAAATGTGAACTTGAAAATAATGTAAAGAGACCGACTTTAGGGAATAAGCAGACGAAGCGGAGCATAATAACGTATTTTCTGCATGGATTTACGATATAGAAATATCAACCAGCATCATGAGAGTATGAATCGCCAAAAAAAAACACCGCCGTATGAAACTTACGGTCGCAGAAATAAACAAAGCCTTAGAAAGCGCTGCCGGAAAAGTCACTTGACGGTCAAGATCTTGATGACAGAAGCGTTGCCAACACGGAGGAGAGCCACGACCGAGTCGCCGGCCTTGCAGAGCTGTTTCTGTTTCCCGTACTCAGTGGCAAACACGATGGCTTGCTCCGTCGACTCGTCGTCGGATGCTCTGGTTGACCCCGCGTAAAGCGCCGGGATGAGACCCCGGAACACGAGGCTGTGCCTGGCCGGAGATTCATCGCTGCATGACCAGTCGAACAAGTCGGTCTTGATCTCTGGAACCACGACCGACAAGATGGGTATGCCTGGTCTGTACTTGGCCACGAGCCTAGCCGTGCTGCCACCCCTCGTGAGGACCAGAATGAGCGAGGCTCGGGCCGAGTTAGCCGTCCTGACTGCCGAGGAAGCGAGTGACTCGAGCGGGCTCATGGGTACCGGAGAGTGCTGCATGATCCTCTTGAACACATCTCCATAGTCAATAGTGCTCTCGGCCTCAACGCATATCTTAGCCATTGTACGGACAGCCAGCTCCGGGTATGCTCCGGCTGCCGTTTCGCCACTGAGCATGACGCAGTCTGTGCCGTCGAGGACAGCGTTGGCTACGTCCGTGGCTTCGGCCCTCGTGGGTCGAGGTGATTTGATCATGGACTCGAGCATCTGAGTCGCCGTGACCACGGGTTTTCCCTGAATGTTACATTTGTAGATCATCACCTTCTGGGCCAAGAATATCTTCTCGATCGGGATTTCCATCCCAAGATCGCCTCTTGCTATCATAAATGCGTCTGAGTTCATCAAGATGTCATCAAAGTTGGCCACACCTTCTTGGTTTTCAACCTATTGAAAATGTTGCAGTAAACTGTAAGAGATTATATGAATTTGTCACAACCTAGAAAGATATATAACAAGTGAACGTTTCTTCTCCCTGTCTGATTATTACATAAATCTCTCTGGTTCGTGTCGATTGTCTAGAAGAGAGAACATACCTTAGACATGAGAAGAATGTTCTTGGCATGCTTCCCGAGTAGCTTTCGGACTTCCACAAGGTCAGATCCTTTTCTTACAAAAGAGAGAGCAATCATGTCGATTTGATTGGGAACTCCCCATCCAAGAATATCTTCCTTGTCTTTCTCAGTCAGCGTCGGGAGATCAACCACAACACCCGGGAGATTGACGTTCTTCCTCTCGCCAAGCATTGCACTGTTCTCACAGCGGCAACGGACCAAACCATTTTCTTTGTCACAAGAGAGGACGGCTAACGAGATGGTACCATCAGCACAGAGTATCACCATGCCCGGTTTGACGTCCTCCGCCAACTTTTTGTAGCTCATGCAAATCATGTTCTCGTCACCCTTCATGTCATAGTCAGTGGATATGGTGATTTCTTGGCCTTGTGTCAATTGGATAGGTTTCCCATCCTTCAAGAAGCCGGTTCGAATTTCTGGACCCTATAAAACAAGTAAGAATCCTTTGTTAGTTTAATCTACCAACGGCAAGGAGAGACACTACACATCCAAAATTTCAGCTGAAGGGACTTACAAGAAAATGCTAAACCGTAAATTCGAGGACTGTGCCATGTATATCTTATATCGGTTTAATGACGTAAATGTGACTTGGTACCATGAATAAGAATCGGATGTAAGAAACATAGAAACAAGAAAACCAGAAAAGCATATTTGGAAAACCAATCTTAGTCAGTTCTGGCTATGACTTCTATCTACTTGACAACACTTTTAACTTCACTGGCTAGATATAACAATCAACAAACAGAGGAAGCCTTTCGCAGGGGCCCTCTATTGAGATTCTATCTTCTTCCAAAGGACAATTGTCTCGATCATCTTAGACACTGACATGACATCAAAACAGCACAATAATTCCTTTGGGGACACAAAAACAAGTTGTACATTTGATTTCAACAATTGCCTATCGCTTGCCAAATAAAAAAGCGACCCTTTTCAACCCATCTGTTCTAATTCAAGCTCGAAATGGAGACAACTATAATACCACAAACCCGAACACATATCTGATGAAACTGGATCTAGATTATTAAACACAACAATCGATGATGATGAAAAAGTATAATCCTTGACAGAAAAATCTCCAGCAAAATACAGGAAAAGACCCCATTCATTTCGCATTGAGGAAATTGTAAAAGCAGACAAAATTGATAACCCAAGCGAAAGACTAAGAACAAAAGAGCAGAAACATGAGAGACCCACGCTTCAATCGTGTAGAGTTAAAAATATCACTGTCAAGGTACAGATAAAACCCAGTGGAGTAATCAATAAATGAAACAAAAACCTGGAAACCCTAGAAATTTCACAGCGGAAACAGATCATGAACCGAATTACGAATTAACCAGAAAACTACGGATCAGAAACAATCGAAACAGAGCCAGAATCAGAAGAAGAAAAAGCCACGTATCTCACGCCAACACACAGACGTATATATGTATGCGGGCTTGCGTGCGTGTGGTTGGTTTACCTTGGTATCAAGCATGACGGCGCAGAGGATGCCAGTGCTGGACATGGCCTGATGGAGATTATCGAGAGTCTCCTGGTGGTAAGCGTGAGATCCATGGGAGAAATTGAATCGAGCGACGTTCATACCGGCACGGAGAAGCTTCTCGATCATGGGAACGGATCTGGAAGCGGGACCGAGCGTGCAAACGATTTTCGTCTTGGGCCTCTGCTCCATCGGAACCACAACTCCATCCGCCATCGCAGCAACAACAACAGATGAGAACACAGCCGATCGCAGAATCTGCAGAGAGATCTGGCTTGGCGAACAAGGTAAATGAGTTCTTGCGAAAGTGAGAAATGAAAGAAGATGGGTGGCCAGGTCAGGAGGAGGTTTGGTTGATTTAAAGAGTGACGCTAGGTGTCGTCATTTAGATTATCAGCTTTAAATTAATGGAAAATCTAATATAAAATATTCAATTTATAAAAAACCAAATTTAAATTTATAGAAAATAATATGAATTTGTAATAAAATTTTATATTATTTATGAATTTGCAGAAAAAATTAATTTCATGTTAATATCAAATTATCAAAATTTTGACAAATCTCAACTGAAACGATCTAAACAATGTTAAATTTAATATTAACTTAGCTGATAAATTGAACGGTAAAACTCATAAAAAATCATGAATTTATAAAATGGTAAAAAACAAATTTCTAAACTTTTTGTTTGACAAATTTATTCTCAAACTTATAAAATGAGTTATTATAATTCTCAAACTTGTAAAATATATCATTATAATTTCCAATCTTGTTTTTAATCAAAATCATCGAGGTTTCTTGCAAATTATAATGACATATTTTGCAAATTTGAAAATCAATTTGTCAAACAAAATGTTTAGAATTTTTTTTCACCGTTTTATAAGTTCATGAATTTTTATGGATTTTATCTTCAATTAAAATATGTAATTCACCGCCTCACATCATATTTAAAAAAGTAAAATAAAAATATAGGTCGTGTATATATATATATATATGTAAATATGTATATGTATGTATTTTTTTATTTTATTTTACTTTTTATGTTTGTTAAAAATCGAACAAATTGAATTCAAATTAAAAGTGAAATCAAATTAAAAACCCATAATTCTTTTATGAAATGAATATTTTTCAATAAAAATCAAACCCGAGACAAGTTCGGAAAAAAATAAATCGAAACAAATCTATGATAAAAAAAAAATTTAAATAACTATATTTTGTAAAATAAAAAATAGCAATCCTAAATATCAAAACCTAAGTGACTCACATTTGACTTTTATTCGACTTCTAGATGTTGTTGTCGGGACACGATACGACCTCTTCAGCGCCTCCAAAGTCTACGCCCCTTGATTCAAGACAAATCCTAGCTGTTAGGTTTTAAGCCTTCTCGTTTCAGGACAGGTGACGATTGCACACATATGTTGAATTCGATCCGGTATAGTTTGGTTCTATCTCGGTTTTGTTTGAATTTCACCGGTTTGGATCTACTCAAACCGAACCGGGATTGTTCTTACCTGACGAACAGAGAACCAACTCCGATGGAACTATAACCACATGTTTTCTCATAACTAGTTTGATTTTTTTTATAAAAACAATTCATTCATTACATGACACTTTTTAATGACATGATGCTAATAAACTACATCAACATCCGTAGCTGAAACATCGTGTAAAAATTTGAAAGAAACTTACAGATTGGTATATTTTTTTTTTAGAAAATTACAAAATTATATATTTTTAATCATTTTTAGCAATTCATGTATTTATGTAGTATTAGAAGCGTATCAGTAGTTACCTACGAATACGAAGGCATGAATTCGGCTAAGTTTTAAAGAAGAAGATATTTTGAAGCTTCGAAGCCTAAAAGCAAGGGAACAACGTACGAATATTCTTCATGCTAATGTCGTCAGAATGCTCATGATGAAGGCAATAAATATATATGGGAATGTTGCTCTTTTACCAGTTAGGCGATGAACCCTAATCCAGAGTTTTCACTGAGTATAATCCTTTCTGCATTTCATAACCTAGTTTCATCCTCTCCCACCAAGCCAACAGCCCTTTTTCTCACTTCCGAGAGAGCGAGAGAGAGCGAGCAAAAGGACGATTAATCTACCTTTTAGTAATACGAAAATCTCCGGGATTCATTGCTCAGAGTTCGTCGTGGTTCTGAGGCAGTTCTTGGTTCAACTGATCGAGCTTTTGTTGTAGTTCCTGTTTGCATTTTTAACCAAAATGAAAAAAAAATGGCTTAAGTAAAAAAAGAGAGTAATCAAGATGAAGAAGAGTAGTATAAGTTTTATAACCCATGAACAGAAGTATATACTCACTTTAAGCTTATCTTCCAAACAAAGGGCCGGTGTTGATAACACGGCTACATACCTGTCCACGCGAGAGTATGATGAATAAGCAAACCCATAATTCAATTCGTTAGAAGATTATACAGTTAGGCCAGAAATTACTCGCAGCGGCTCGGTTCATCAACATCCATTAGCTCGTTCTTCATTCCACATCTTAGCTTTACCTGCATTCAGATCTTATTTAGTTCGCCTTTTTATTCACGTTTCCGTTATCCTTTGTAAGTGCAGAACTCAATATTTCAAGCATTTTCGAGAATTATTCCACTGATTGTGCTCTCTGCTAGTCGGAACTAATTATGTACACCACTGGACTGGAATCATAACCATACCAACATAAATTGGTAGATGCAAAAGGTAAGGCGATATCTCGGTTACCTTCAAGCTTCTATCAGGACCATTCCAGCACTTGTCACCTTTCGAAAACGCCATGATTTGGTACAAGTCCTCGAATTTGTCCCATTCCCTAATTAGCAAAACAACCCATAAGAAAAGCGACACGGAAGAAGAACAATAAGTATAAGAGATAACAGGCAGTTGCTTAGTCATGCTGATTGTCCACGTTGAACAAACTCCAACTTTGAATAACTTCATATGCATAATATGAGAAATATACGCAGATGAGATGCCGAAAAAAAGACACAGTGGACAGTGCCACCTACCCTAACCGAGTTGTAGAGTAACCCTCCACCTGGGATGCTTCTTTATACGGGCAGACTTTATAAGTATACCTAAGACGAATTTAGATGGTAATAGTAAGGGCACAAGAAAAATAAAAAATAGCAACGCACTGAAAAACTTTGATATAGGGAGAGAGAGAGAGCTAGGGCATCATATCGCTCAGATTCTCCTTACTTGCCCTGTTTGCTCTCGAAACAACGACCGTAGAATGAATAGAACTCTTTCTCAGGTCCTGCGATGAAAAATATATAAGATTAGTTTGAGGAAAGGAACACACGTAAGTGAAGAAACAGGGAGTGTTATCACACAGACCGAAGTCTTTCTTCAGCTTCTTTTCCAAGCTTGATATCCTTGACTGTATCTTAGATAATTTCGAACTGGACTCATCATATTCTTTGCGTATGCGATCAGCCTCTACATATACCACAAGAACAACAGATGACTCACTTAGGTAAACCGATCTCACTTTTTCGGTTACTTGACAAGGGCAAGGATGATAAACTAATAATTACCAGATTTGTCTACTGGAGTTTGGAACAAATTCACAGCTTGGAGAATGGTCTTGACAGTCTGTTGTATCTTCTCCAACCAAGATGGGCTTGAGGTGGTAGTTTCTGTTCATAAGAAGATCAAACAATTTCACCCTTACCACGAGAGAAAGATTAATCTCAGTGAAGAGTACCGAAATGACAAACCTGACAAATCCAGATCATCATCGTCTACATCAGATTTATAGGAGGAACTAGAATCACCATGATCGTGATACTCTTCCTCATAGGCATCATCTTCTGCCTCATGGTCGCTGTATTTTCCATCGTTGCCAGTATCATCGTCAGTATCAGAAACAAAGCCATCATCCTCCTCATGTGAACTGGACACATGCTCATGGCTTTCCTCATTGTCAACTTTAGCACTATCAGCTGCCTCGGACTCCTTATCAGATTTCTCTCCTGTCCAACGAGAGGCAACAAGACGTCCTAACTCCTCCTTCGATAGCTCCTCAGTGCTCTCAGATGTAACATCCTCCTGTCCACGGAATGTAGAGTAATTGGACGTCAGTAAACACAGAAATTCTAAAATCTCCAATGTGTCATAGCATAGATGCCAGAAATTTTTTTTTCTTCCAAATAACATGTTTGCCCCCGCAAGAAAGATTCAGAGAGCTAAAACTAGACTATAGTGGGCTTCTGTAAGTATGTAAGCTGGGATTATAAATTACCGTTATCTTTGCCTCATCTTGCTCCTCCTTTTCAGTGTTACCATCATTTTCAGAGACACCTGTGGAAGAATCCTCGGATGAGGGAGAATTCCCCTTCTTCTCCTCCACAACATTCTGTGTTGTGAACAACCTTATATTATCATCTAACATGCGATATTTTGATCCATTTCCAGAGAAGAAACATATGAATGAAAAAATCTTGCTGACCAGGTCTGCAGGTTTAGGAGGAGAAGCCTCTTCTGATATACCCGCCAGGTCAGTTTTGACTGCTGCCACCTGAAATCATTGTCTAACTCAGCACCCGCTTAGAAGATAATACAGGTTGGACCAAAGAGGAAACAACTAATTCCACCAAGCAAGAAATACAAGAAGATCTCAGTAAGAGCCACAAATCCCTAAACCTTAGTTAGAATGAACCGACTGTGTGCAGGGACATGGTATTAGTGTAAACAAGTAAGAACGTTTTCACACATAGAACGAAATGATGACAGCTTTCAGGATCCGAAGAATGAACAGGAGGCACAACTAAGAGAGCCACGTTATGGATATTTTCGTATGATCTAACAGGACGCATGCTTATGCATCTAACTCCTGGCTTAGTTTAGCTGAAGAAAAGAGAAAACTGACTTAGACGGAAACTTGAAAATCCAAAACAGATTACAAAAGAGAAAATTAAATTAGAATCAAAATTATTTTAGGTTACAAGAGGAGGATCTGACCTCGGCTGGAGAAAAGTCCTCGACATTAACAATCTCATCTTTATGTGTGCTTTCATAGGGCTTTCCTTCGTCATGTGATCCTCCTGGCATCTTTTCCTCATGTGTGCTTTCACCAACCTCTTCGCTATCATCTTTTTTCTCCTCAGCGTCCCCCTTTTCTTGGTGGGCTGCTAATTCAGCTTCTTTTCTTTCCTTCTCCTCCTTTTCTTTCTGGAGACGCTCCCTTTCCTCCACCTTCTCAATTTGTTCCTTACGCTCTACAGAGTAAACCAAACGAATCTTTAGTAAATGCCAAGTTCATTATCCACAAGACCAACAATGTTAAATAAACATGTGTCAGTTAATCATCCCAGGCTAGCAGAGCAAAATATGACAGAATAACAAAAGTCTGAAATATATTAGATTTTACTATCATCTCTTCCTTCTGCTTTCTTTATGACGGTTGGGGAAAAAATCTAGAGACTAACATCTCTGCCCAACATGAAACTCTTCAAAGGCATAACAGACATCTACGTATCCTATAGTTACAGCGTAGCACTCTCGGTGTCCAGTAAAGTGACATTCATCTCAATGTACCACCAATGGCAGTCCAAGATCTATCAGTTTCAGTGAAATCAACGAAGACAATTTGCATAATTAGCCTTAAGATTAATTAGAAATTTAGAATATGCATTGAATAGAAAGACTTACAACCTTTAAGCTGTTGAACTAGGCCTTTCAAAATTTGCTCCTCACTTTTGAGCTTCTTCAATTCTGCTTCGTCTTTCACCAGGCCTGCCTTTGCCTGTTCGATTTCCTGTTTCCTTAAAACAAGCCCTTCAGTATATGTAGCAATCTTTTTCTTCAATTTTTCTCTAGCCGCTTTTCCCGCCTCCCAGCATGTATTTGGACATTTCACTTTACCATCATACTCATCACTTCCATCACAACAATCTGCTCATTATCCACAAGCAAAACATAGGAATCATAACTACCAAAATAATAGTCCTTCAAATATTCTTTCTTCCACATCCCACTTGCAAGTCTATAATTTGAAAAGATTGGGAGATTCAACAGCCATATGTCAGAATCACAGCGGATGAGTAACATACCACAAATACCATCATTGACTCTGGAAGAAAATAAAATCAGGGGAGAGTGGCCTGCATTACGGCAATAGAATTTTCCATTTGGGCATGCTGAGGTACCTGCAATTCAATACGTATGCAGAGTAATAAGATCTAGGATCTAATCCTTCAGAGCAAGACAGATAACAGATTGTTTGCCAACTTTTGATTTGGGTTTCAGTTCACCGGGCTGATACACCTCCAATACATATAAGAACAAGACTACAAGTCACCAATATGTGACACCCAATGATTTTGTTTGATTCAAAACAAATCATTTGGTAGAAATTAAGGAAAAAAACCGTAGGGGAACCCAAAATACATATACAATTGATCGTACGAGCCTGGATACCTTAAAAGCTACGTAATTTTGTCTAATACATAAATATAAGATCAAACAGTAAAGTGTAATTTTCTACGGAAAACCTATGCGACTAGGACTGGACCAACCCACTAGACCAAATGAACAAAATGTGGAAGATGAAAGGAACCTGGCTCGTCAGTCCCATCCGGACAATCACAAAAGTCGTCATTGAGCTGAGCTATCGTGAATTTCTTTGATCCATCCTTACACTTTATCTCTGAAGACGACTTGTAATACTTCTCGTCTACACAACCCAAGACAGGAACCGATCAAAAACAGTAACAGATGACGGAAGCGGCTAAAACAAAAACGAAATCGATAAGATTCGAACAAAACGAGGCAAATCATGATTTTGCATAGCCCCAAGCAAAGAAGAAGAGGAAAACGAAACCTTGAGGGGGAATGCCGAGAAACGGATCGTTCGCCGGCAACGAATTCGATCCAGAAAAGGAAGCGACGAGCAGGAGAAAAGCTAGCTGCAAATAGATGGGGATAGAAGAATACACTACCCTCATCTTCTTCGAGATCGAAACCGGAGAAGATCAGAGCACTGATTTGGCCGAGAAGATTGGAGTGCAATCTGTGTGAGAGAGATGGTCATGGAGATTCAAAGTCCTAAAACGACGCAGTTTTAGGTCCACACCCAATGGGCCGTACGATCTCGGCGGTTCAGAGGTCTAATCCAATAACCGAACTTAACCGAGATGGTTCGCTTTTCGACCTTCAGTTATCGAAACGTCGTCGTATTTATCAAGGAAGCGAAACGTCGTCGTATAGTAGATCTTCTTGCTTCTTTGTGTTTTTTTTTTCGATTTTTTTTTTCTCCACGGGGTTTAAAAGGATATCGTTATCTGCTTCTACAAGCACGAAGCAGGCAGGAGAAGCTCGAAACCAAAATGGAAGGAAGCATCTCACTGCTTTGTCTACGTACATCTTTCAGTTGCAATCACTTGTCCGGTTGCTCACCGGGTGCTTACCGTTCCTCGGTATATAGTTTGTTCGAGACGCTCCGGCCGGCGAGCTTCATATCCTTTCCGACGGAAACCAGGCGGTCTTCGTCTGTACGGCTGTTTCTTCCTCCGACTAGAGGCTCTATCCGGACTCCGGAGCTCACTGCGGAGGAGGCGGAGGCGGCGGAGAGAGTGAGAGATGTTCCAATGCCGAAAATTGATAAGAGCGGCCGGTTTTGCAGCCCCCGTGCCGCCCGCGAGCTGGCTCTGTATGCTCTCTCTCTCTCTCTCCCCCTATCCCTCTGTGTGTGAGTAGAAAAATTGAGTTGTAATAGCTTCGATCAATGAGATGGAATTTAAAATTGAAGCGGAAATGGGAATTAACTGGAACAATTTGGTGGATTCTCTGTTTGCTGGGAGAATAATGTTTTGGATAACTATCGAATTATGGTTTGTTGGTTCTGGGTTTAGGGTTTAAGAGTAGACGTGAGCTCGAACGGCCCTTGAACTATGTCGCCAATAGGATAGTTTTGTTATATTTGGATTTCGTTGTTGACTGCATCTCAGAGTCTCAGACTGTTCATTGAAATGCTAAAGCCAACTCTTCTCGGGCTGTCTTTCCTCGATGATTGGTTAGACGATGAGTTGCTTCTCACCCAAAACCGAATACTATGACACATGGAGCCAATCTTTGAACCACAAGAATTCTGATTCTTTTGTAAATTTTGGCTGAATCACTAGAATGAAACTTGAACAAGATACTTTGCGATGATCATAAATTAGCTTTGTAGTTGTTCTTAATCCTCTTGCTGTCGGATGATCTTGGCAGATTAATACTTTATGCTGCATGTCTAGAAGGCTCAGACCCAATTCGTCTATTCGAGAAGCGAGTAAATGCAAGAAGAGGTAATAGCACAAGTACCATGCTTTCAACTTTCTTATCTGTTCTTGCAACAAAAGTCATGAATGTACGATTTTTTGATCGAGATAAACCAAACCTAAGCTGTGTTGATCAGTTGCTTTATTTTCTGGATTTGAATGCTTGTGAGATTATAGCTCCACTATGGGATGGATTCTTTGTGCAGAACCTGGATATGAGTTTGACAAAGCTTCTCTGCTTGAATACAACCACATGAGCTTTGGGGGACCTCCAGTTAAAACTGAAACAAATGAAGAGGCAGATGAGCTCGTTCGCAATGACGAAAAAGAATCTACAATTGGTAAGGCTTAGTATGACGAAAAAGAATCTACCGTTTCTCTTGTTGTTTGCTACTTCAGTTGCAAAGGAATCTCTCTTTTTTTTTTTTGGATTTTAATGAGAATTCTCCCTTTTTTCATGCAGAGGCAGAAGTTCTTTTAGCTCCCCCAAAGTTGGTATACAGCAAACTAGTTTTACGGTGATTCATTGCTTCTCATTCACTGCTAAATATACTTATTGCTGGTAAAGTCGTTCACTTAAACGAACACCGATATACCTTCTTCCCATTTTTTGAAGGCTTGCAAGGAAACTCTTGGCTGCAGTTGTTGATAAGTGGGATAGTCACATTGTTGTCATCGACAAAGTTGCTCCGTCAAATTGGAAGGTCCGAACAAAATACACTTGATCATTCAATGGCACTCAAATAGTAGATGGCCAAACACTAGTGCCCCTCCAAATTGAAAGTTTCGGTTTCTAATTGAAAACGATCGTCTTGTTGCAGCAGTTGTTATATAGATCTCTGTTGGCTGACACCTCGAGCTCAAAGTTCAGTTGAGTTTCCATATTTATCTGCCAGTAAATACCTAAATTCCATGTTGTTTGACATATATTCACAGAATGCACCTGCTGGAAGAATACTTGAGCTTTCAGTTCTCCATCTAGCCATGTCTGAAATAGCAGTTGTTGGAACTCGACATCCAATTGTCATAAACGAGGTCTCTCTCTCTCCCTCTCTCAAATTCCCTTTCATATGCCTCAATAAGGCATCGATCTTTGCTATGAACTGACATACTTCAACAAAACTGTGAAGGCCGTAGATCTTGCGAAAAGATTCTGTGACGGGTCAGCCCCAAGGATAATCAACGGATGTCTAAGGACCTTTGTCAAAGACTTCACAGGAGGAGGAGGAGTGGCCTCCACACCTCCCCAAGCTTCGGAATCCAAGCAAGAAGTGTCGGTTTAAAATTACGACAAAGGCATTCTTCTCGAGACAAATCTCGCTTGTTCTTATATATCCAAGGCGAGAGAGCCTATCTATGTTCAGAGTCAGACCCAGTTGTTTCATGAAACTCTGTCCAAAAGGTTCTTGGTCCCTTTTTTGACATTCAATTTCAGGTAAGAAGAAGCTTTGCCACCTGAGGATGAATCTGTCAGGCTGCGGATTTCTCATCAGCCTCATTCTCTTTTTTGTTTTTGTTCCTTTTTTTTTTTTGTGTGGCTAAGAACAGATGAGCAAGTATGTCTATATTGCACCTATAATGTGAATTTAGTGTTTATGGTTCTGACTTTTGTGATTTGTATCCACTTTCTTATGTTAACATCAGTTCTTGTTCTCATTTAAGTAAATGAAATTATGTATTATTTCATGTTGTCATTGATTCTCACTTATATTTAAGAAAAAACTCGACTAAATATCTTATCAATTTCCAGACTAATAAACAAAATTTGAAGTTAAAAAAAAAAATAAATGATTTTTTTTTTCTGATTTTCAGTTTTAAAATAATGAATTTTATAAAGATTCCAAATAAACTATTCAGTTCTTATTTTACGTAAAAGTTTTTTTTTATGATTTCTCGTAAAATTTTATGTATTATTTTAGAAAAGAATTTAAAATTTAAGATTTTAATTAGAAGTCGAAAAAAATTGTATATTATTGATATTTTAACTTTTGGCATTTGTAACAAATTTGTATTTATACCTAATTTTGCCTTGGATCCATAGAGGTGTTTATTTTGGGTTTGCATTCAACGCAGATTTCAAGCCCATGAGCCCATCTCTGATTTATTTTGGCCCGTTTTCTAGGTTGAGTCCCCCCCCCCCTAGGGTTTTGCCTTGTAGCCCTCTATATATACTTTTCTCCTCTTTCTTGATTCTGAATCAGAGATTCTCCGGCGTCGCGTTCTATTGCCCCGATTTTTTTGCAATTCTCATCCATGCTCTCGGGCTATCTTCGTTTCCAATTTTCCTCCTTTTTTTTGGGTTTTGGTTTAACGTAGATTGATCCAAGAAATCTCTGAATCAAAGCCTAATTTGCAGTTCTTTGATCAGAGAATTCGACTTAGGTCAAATAGATTCATTAGGCGATAGAGAAGAAGGAAATTTTCCGGCGGGCTTACGCGCCTTCGTGTGCTTGCTCCACCGTTAAAGCTTCGATTATCCTGTTGTTGTTTTTTATTATTTCTTTCCACCGATCGTCGGTGACACGGTAGATTCGTCTTCGATTTCGATTTGATTTTCATCGTCGTTGTCTTTTAAATTCGAAAGCAATGATGTGATGGATAGATGGATGGATGATGAAGCAAATTCATTCGGATTCCCAGTGATTTCCTCAAACGGAAAAAATGATCTGTCAACCAGCTACTTCTGACATCATCATCACGATCTTATCAGTTATGGGGCCAGTGATGGAAGAAATATATTTGCTACTCTTGATGGAGAATTATTGTTCTTCATCTGATGACATTCTTTATCCACCAAGATCTCTGAGGCCTCCTTTCTTCTTAGTGTTTTCCGTTAGCTTAATCTGACTGAAGAAGGTAACGAGAGATTGAATGAGACTTTAGAAACCTGCCCTATAAAACTAAAGTTCTAAAGTATTCAACTTTGCTTCGAGAAATGCATTACCAATGACCATTATAAAGTTTCTCCAAAATGTTTGTATTCTCCTCTTCTCTCCCCCTTAAATGCCTAATTCGTCAAATCTGGTCCAGTAACTGTGATCTGATTGGGGGAAACCCGATGACTCTCGAGATGGTTAACATGCCGAGATATTGGAGGTTTGATTTTTTGTCCGTTAGTTACGACTGATTTATATGTTGCGGACTCATCCTAATGACGGTTTATCTAGTCGGTGCATCTGATATTATCTGATATTAACCGAAAGGTAATAGTTGGGGTTACCATTTTATAAAAAAGAAACTTTGATCGGATTGCTCTAGTAGAATGGTTAGTATGCTGTAAAACTTGTTAGTAATTAGCTTTTTGTCAGATTTAGTTTGAAGATTTCGTGGCGAGAAGAACAACAAAGATTCCGGCGTTGCGTCGCCGATTTTCAGACATATACACTCCTTCGGACCCACCCGGCAACTCTTATCCTTCCCTCTGGCGCGTTCCGTCCACGCGCCACCGTTGCCACTGATCCCACAGCCGCAATTATTAGTGCCGCCACCATCAGACCTCCGGATATTCATTTTCTTTTGTTAATTTGTGTGTTTTATTTATATATCATCCATTACTATTAATACAAAACTATTTTACCTGGCTACAATCAATACAATGCTATTAAAAAATCAATTAGACCAGTTTTCGTCAAATTGACATTATGTATCTATGCTATGACTAGTTATTAGACCAGTTCACTTCGTTTTATTATTTTCTAGCAAATTGGAGAATTGATGGGGGAAAAGATTCGATTTGAATTTTTTTTGGTTATAAAATAATATAGAGATGATGAATAACTACGTTGATTTTGTTTTTTTATATGTCAAGATGGTCATAATGTTTTGATAATGTCAAGTAGTATGATCAAATACTTTTAGATTAATGAATTTATATTGTTTATAATATATTTCAATTGTGTTTTGTTTGTTTATCGTTGGGCCGTAATTGAATCGAATTTTCATTGTCATAATAAAATTAACCGTATTTAAATTTTGGTTATAGTTTTTAATAAACTTAACCCAATCAAATGAATCATAACGTAACCGAATCGGACCAATTGTAATTAAAAATTTTTTTTACTACAAAACCTGAATTAACCGTCAGTGTCGGATAAACCGAATTGAAGCGTTTGACCAGCCCCGCGGTAGCCTCCGGGGTTAGGGGTATTTCTGAGATTACGAAGATAGGATAGGGGCAAAATCGTCTTTGTGGGGTTTTTCGTATGAAGGTGGCGTTTATTATCTAACCGCCAAACGCTGACTCGCGTTACGATTAAACGCTGACGTGAGGATTGGGTAAAGTCCAGTGTTCTTCGGCCCAAAGACTTTTCGGAAGTTTGTAAATTTCATGGCAATTCCTCTAACCCTTTCTCTACTTCCGCCGGTAACAGCTCCTCCGCCGTCTCTCTTCTTCTCCTTCAACCGTTTCCTCCACTTCCCTTCTTCCCCTTCCTCTGGTGAGTCACCTCCTTAAACCCTAATTCTGTCTTTCTCTCTCTCCGTTCATGCGATTGTCTCTGATAATCTGAATTTGGGTTCAGCTCTTTTTTTTTTTCTTTTGTAATCCCGTTTCAAAGGTTGCATTCGCCCAACAATTTTGGTGCACAACCTTTCTTCCTCCCCTGCATGCTTGATTCTGCGTAGTTCTCTTTTATCTCTTTTGGATTGTTTCGGAAGCATTCGGTACTTGTATAGATACTTCGGTGCTCTATTGTTTATGTTGCTACTGGTAAAAAGGTTTTTTTTTTCTCTCTTTTTGTCCGTGGGTTTTTGTTTTTTGATGAAAATTAGCGATCTGGTGTTGGTTTCGTTTGGTTCTTTAGAAGGCTTTTCTGTATGCTTCATTTTGTTTTTAGTCAATCGAAATCAAATGACCAAATGCTGAAGATTTACTTGGAATCTTTGGCATTTTCAGAATGGTGTGTCGCTTTGCATTAAGTAAGGTTTGTATTTGGGACATGTAACTTCATGTAATGTCTCAAACAATCTTCTCCTAGTTGTTGCCCGTGTCAGTTTTGGCTACAGTTTATCTTCTCTCTTGGGAGATGCTATTGCTTGTTCTGATTTTGTGTTCTTATTTTGTAACCTAGACAGTGTTATTGAGAGCTACGTCTAAAAGACTCGTTTTGGCAACCAAGACACAACCAGTGGCAACTATGGCAGCTGTAAGTTGCACTCCAATCCTGCAGGAAATGAACTTTTTGTGTTTTCCCCTTTTCAGTTCTGATTGTGGAATATTGCAGCAGGATGAAGAAAACGCCGGAAATGTAAAACGTCAACTCGCTAAACTATTTGAGGCATCACTTAAGTTAACAGTTCCAGATGAACCTAATGTTGAGCCATTGGTAGCTGCCTGCACTGCTAAATTCGGCGATTACCAATGGTGCACCCTCTTTACTTCTTTATAGAAACGAGAATGGTGGATATGAAGGCAGATTAGGTTACTTTCTGATTCTTTTTCCACACTGATGTTTGCAGCAACAATGCGATGGGCCTTTGGTCGAAAATAAAAGGAAAGGCTTCTCCTTTCAAGGGTCCTCCAGCTGTTGGACAGGTTGGATACCGAATTTTACAATCTTTTTGTCATTAGAGTTCAAGCAATAAATTTTTATCAGATTTTGTCTTCCTTGTCTGAAGATATACCTCTTCAACTCCTTTTCTAACAACTTTTTTTCCTCCCTTTGTAGACCCTTATGAAAAATCTCCCTCAATCTGAAATGGTAGAATCATGCTCCGTAGCTGGACCTGGGTTTGTCAATGTTGTACTATCAGCCAAATGGATGGCAAAGGTCTGTTCTGTATTGTTTACTCGTAACTATCTCCCAATCTTCAGGCATGGAATTTGTGCATAGCATAATTGTTTCCAATCTGGTTGCAGAGCATCCAAAATATGCTTATTGATGGAATCGATGCATGGGCGCCTACCCTTCCGGTGAAAAGAGCTGTAGTTGATTTTTCCTCGCCCAATATTGCGAAAGAAATGCATGTTGGCCACTTAAGATCTACAATTATTGGTGACTCATTAGCCCGTATGCTCGAGTATTCGAAGGTTGAGGTTCTTCGCCGAAACCATGTTGGTGATTGGGGAACACAGGTAGGTGTTTGTGTGCTTTTCTAATGCTTTCTTCCCCAAACCAGGGGCTTCTCATTTGTTGTTATTTTGGAATTCAACATTACTAATGGAATAAAAGCTCCACACATTTTGCAGTTTGGTATGCTGATAGAGTACCTCTTTGAGAAATTCCCTGACTATGAGAATGCAACTGAGTCTGCAATCGGAGATCTTCAGGTAAGCTTTATAGTTGAATGTATTTGATTCTTGAAGGTTTTCATTTTGTTTCTTGCTATTGTTGGCACGTGTAGTTTGTGCAGAAAGGTCCATCAACAACTCTATTGCTAACTTAAGATGTGATCTCATAGGCATTTTACAAAGAATCGAAAAAGAAATTTGATGAGGATTGTGACTTTAAGGAGAAGGCACAACAGGGTGTGGTCCGTCTTCAGGTAAAAAATCTTGCTTCCTAAGATCAGTCGTTGCTGCATTTTGGAATTGAGATATTACGCCTTCATTCGATAGCATTATGACTAAAATCGCTGCTCTTGTTGTTTTCCTACCATACAGGGTGGGGATCCCAAGTATCGTAAGGCTTGGTCTCGGATATGTGAAATCAGCCGAGCTGAGTTTGCTAAGGTTTATCAACGGCTTCGAGTTGAGCTTGAAGAGAAGGTAGAAAGATGCTTCACCTGTACTCTACTGTTTTAACCGAAATGAAAAAGGTATACATGGATGGGTTAACAGTTGCGGCAATAATCTTGTCAGGGAGAAAGCTTTTATAATCCTTATATCCGTGGAGTCATTGAGGAATTGAGCAGCAAAGGATTAGTTGAAGAAAGTGAAGGCGCTCGGGTGATTTTCATCGAAGGCTTCAACATCCCTCTCATTGTTGTAAAGAGTGATGGTGGTTATAACTATGCTTCAACCGATCTGACGGCTATCTGGTGCGTTAACTTCCAGTCCTTTTTTAGAAAATCTTGACTTAAGCAGCTGTCTTTTAAGATGTCACCTGCTAGCTTTCTGTTATGGGTTATGCTGTTATCATCTATGCACCCATATTTTTTTAGTTTTGCTGTTATAATATTTTTTGAGTTTTGCTATTGTATACTGTATTATCGATTCTACACTGCATTGTTCAGGTATCGCCTTAATGAAGAGAAAGCTGAGTGGATGATATATGTTACTGATGTCGGGCAACAGCAGCACTTTGATATGGTGTTCAAAGTAGGTGTGATGAGTGCACTTCTTTTCATAAAATCATGTCACGTGATTTGATTCTTTAATGCTAATATAATTATTATGAACCAGGCTGCCAAAAAAGCTGGTTGGCTCCCGGACAATGATAAGACGTACCCAAAAGCTAACCATGTTGGTTTTGGTCTTGTCCTTGGAGAAGATGGCAAGCGATTTAGAACAAGGAGTTCAGAAGTGGTCCGCTTGGTTGATTTGCTAGATGAGGCCAAGACTCGCAGTAAAGCTGCCCTTATTGAGCGTGGTAAATGAGTCCATCAAATATATGTATTTTTTTTAATTTTGGATGGGCCGAGCATTCTCCTTGTGAGGAACAACACCTTTCAAGTTATTCATGTGGATTTTGTTTCTTTTTTTGGCCGTTCTCTACTGTTCAGGTAAGGACAAAGAGTGGACTCCCGAGGAACTTGATCAAACCGCCGAGGCTGTTGGATATGGTGCTGTGAAGTAAGTATCAACCTTCTAATATGTACCTTGTTGAGAGGGGATTGTATTTCATATCTGTTGTTTTTTATTATAATTCTGTGAAGGCTGCACAAAATATGATTTTATCTTATTTTTTGTGCTACGCTTAGGCTTTAACTTGCACTTTCTTTTAATTTTTTTTTCTCAAGGTATGCCGACCTGAAGAACAACAGATTGACAAATTATACATTCAACTTCGATCAAATGCTTAATGACAAGGTGCTGAAACGTTTGTTTGCCCTCTGTAGTGCATGTTGTCGTGAAACAAATATATATACCTGATTATTGATAACATTTCATGAGCAGGGAAACACAGCTGTTTATCTTCTATATGCTCACGCTCGGATCTGTTCAATCATTAGAAAGTCTGGTAAAGACATTGATGAGTTCAAGAAGGTATTTTGTTTTCAGGCAGCAATATGGTTTTCTTGCTCAAGTGTCCTTTGATTTCTGTTTTTTTTTTTTTTTTTTTTTTTTTTTTTCCCTTTACTTTTCATATCATATGCGGAGGGATAGAGAAAACCTTATGTCCGGTTCAGACAAACCGGGAAGATGCATTAAAAAACCAATGGACGACGAGAGGGCGTCCTTTGAAAATCGCCAAAGCACCATCCATGGAAGCTTGACCAAAATGGTTGGAGCAGCTTCCTCTCTTCAATTTCTGTTTGAACCCTAAAAACCCAATTCACTTCAGAGATCGATCCGACAAATTGATCATAGCAAAGCTTTCATCTGCATTTGTCTGTCACGAAACCTCAACAGCACTTTTTGTAAGAACCGGGTCAGGGTTAATGGTGTCGGATACTCTGCTTGGAGGCCAATACCGAAACACTGATCTACCGACGATGTTCTCTACCGGGAGTGGACCCCTGCAAATACATTCCGGAACAATGTTAGAGAATGGAATATCGATCCAACTTATATACCGCCTAAATGTTTTTCTAATTAGGGTTGGAGCCGTATTTTCCTTTCTGTTGGTGAGTGTGGCTGAAAAACCCTGAACTTTTAATCAGTATTTTCAGTAAATAATGTGATTGAGGTTAAACATTTTAACTGTTAACTTTGTGTCAATACCTAGACTGGGCATTTCAAAGTGCAGGAAGATCAAGACAGCACATCTTGAACTACCTATCTTGTGTTCCGGTCTTTGTTTATTTCCTTGGGAAACGGTTTTAAGTTATGTTCTTATGTTTTCGTCATCCATTTTCTGTGTTGCAGACGGGACAGCTAGCGTTAGATCATGCGGATGAACGAGCACTTGGGATTCACTTGCTCCAATTTGCCGAGGTAAGAAGGCATAGAATGATCAATGGATGACACTGCCCCGACTAGGGAGATAGCATCATATTTTTGGGTTCTTTTTTCTCGGTTTAATGATTACGATCCATGCGTTGTTTGAACGATTTCCAGACGGTCGAGGAGGCATGCACAAACTTGTTACCAAGCGTATTGTGCGAGTACCTCTACAACTTATCCGAGTACTTCACCAAATTCTACTCCAATTGTCAGGTATACATATATGATCCTTTATCTTGAACAACTTGAATAGCCAAGCATCAGTTTTTTTGTTATCTTTCTTCGCTTAAGAAAATGGTGGGTGGTGGTTTCCTCGGAAATCCCGTTTTGGTCGCAGGTTATCGGGTCAGCGGAAGAGACGAGTCGTCTCCTACTGTGTGAGGCAACGGCCGTAGTTATGCGGAAATGCTTCCACCTTCTTGGAATCACTCCTGTCTACAAGATTTGATTCTCATCAGACAGAATCTCCCCCTTCTTGATGAGGAAAAGGGCTTATAGACTGTTCCTCAAAAAGATGCAACATTTGTATCCATTACAGAGCTTGCTTGTGTAAGAAAACGGAACCAAAACCTGGGGTTCCTCTTCTCATTCTGTTTCAGAAAACCCGAAATACAACTCAGACAGCCGAGAGATTTGTTCTTTCATATCATAAAGTGAAGGACTCCTGTGATACAATCTCGTGTGCGCTTGCAAAACGCAGAAACGCAAACGCGGTTACTAATGGAAATAGATTCCGTCTAAAACTAGACAGTGTCCCAGAAACAAAGGGAAGTGATCTCAATCTATGACACCATTCATAAAATCTCAAAGTCTGGACCGAAATGAAGAGCAAAAGCACATTGTTTCGGAATCATACAACAACGACACCATCCATGGAATGGTGATGATACACAGCCGGACTAAAGCGGGAGACGACTCTCCATATATAGTTTCCTCGAGACCATAAACGGAAGATTACAACAGTAAAACGGGCAATGGAATTTGCATCAATGGCCAAGAAAAGATCCCAAGAGTGCTTTAGAGGCCTGATTCAATAAGGTAATCACCAAGCCTCTCGACCACCATATTGCACTGGCCAGGAGCCATTGGTTCGTCATAGATACCAATGACAAGAGCCTGATTGGTCTTCTTGATGGTGACACCACCAGGTCCCTGCAATGGATATTTACCCGAGAAATAGGTTCATTCAGAGAAGTGGCAAGTGGTGCAGAGATTCAGAGAATTTTCTCGTCCAAGATTGATCGGACAAAGACTCAGACAGTGGATTGTTTACCTTTTTTCCTCGGATAACAGCACCTGGCTCGCCCTGGATCACCATGTACTTTGTGCCTCCGAGGAACAACCCGGTTGGAGCTAGTGTTCCAGGTTCGTTAAAATCGTTCATGATTCCTGTTATCTCCTCAGGCGTTAACTGGAAAAGTAGCGATACTGACCGGATAAGCAAACCATTTCATTCCAAGATCATGAAACAAAATCCACAGCATTCGATTGCAAATCCAATCCAATCAAGAAACCTCTCAAATGAAATTCATTGGTTAAGAAGCCGAGTAAACAACAAGAGAGCAGACAAGACGGAGACCAAACATGTCAAGACAGCAGATGAGCAGAAAACACCGTTTAGGATGAACGGGGCAGAAAATTTTACAAACCTACTGTGTTCATCTATATTCGGTTGTTCTAACAACCAGATGAAACCTCATCATTTCCAAAGTCTTTACCTTTGTTGTCAAGAACACTAACAAGAGATCAAACTTATAAACATCCGACACAGTGTAATGAGCTTTATCAGTCTCATAGATCAACAAGAATCAAGCACCGGATTCTCGGGAGAAAAAGAAATACCGAATCGAATTGATCAGCCATGCAAAGCAACCCCCTGGACATCAAAACTTAAGAATTTTTCTTCATTTAGTAAATATCTAATCTTAAATCTGAGGAGCTCCGTTCATTACTCGAAAGTGACAGCCTCATCTCTGCAATTCAAGCTTAGATTCCAATCGAAATTGTCACGGCCCGACAACAGACTGAGTACCCGTAATCAGTAAGCCTATTTAGACGAAACAATTAGGGCAACGAATTCATAAAGGGGTAAAAACAGATCCAGATCGAAACAGATACAATCTAAATCGCTAGAAAGGGGGGAAGATTCAACACAGATCCAAACAAAAACAGCAAAGCCTCGCACAGATCATGCACGTATAGCGATTCGGACAGAGCAAATCCAATCAGTGAGTGGATCGGAGAAGGTTGTAAGTAGAAAATGAAGCAAACCTGGGGGAAGTTGGCGCTCTGAGCCCAAACGCTGCCGTCTTGGCCGAGGATAGCGGCGGCGGTGAGGCGGTTTCCCTCCACGTCGCACATCAGGTGATCGTCGACATACGTTTGCCACGACATCTCTCTCTCCTGCTTCCTCTTCTTCTTCTTCTTCTTCCTCTTTTGTGGTTTTCGGACAGTGCGAGGGATAGCGTCGGAACTACGAGGTGTGTGGCAGTGGCATCTACGCTATATATATATATTTAATTATATATACGCACATTTCGAATTTAATCGCGATTACAAAAAAGAATGTACGAAATAAAAAAAAGGGAAAAAAAGTAATTCAACTTGTCTTTTCCTTTCTCAAAATTGATACTTCTGGTTTATTTTTATTTTCCCAACACCTCACTTTTATATTAGGGATTTTAAAAAAATTGTCATATAAATATATAAAACTTGAAATTAAAAGAAAATACAGAGATTTTATAAATAGTGCTATACATCTATATACAAGCTTGCAAATCTCCTAAATTCGTAAGGACAAAATCACCCGAACTCGTAGATATTTGAACAGCTGATATTCCATGCATGGTTGTTGGGACAGGGATCGAGGCAAATGGTCCCGAATCTAAAGGTGGTGGGCCCACATTTTTAATCACAAGAAAGTCGTGGTATCTACCATTCATGGTGGTAATTAACTGCTACGGAATGATGTATAGTGCGACACAATAAACCAAATGTGAAACTGTAATCACTAATCATATTATATTCAATTTATTGTATGGATGCTTACTGCATGAGAAACAGAAGCAATGACCAAACTTCTGTTTCAGTTCTGTTATTGTCATCCTTGAAGGAAGAAATTCGTAGACGAGGGAAAAGAGACCAGAAATGGTTTTTTTTTTTTTAACAGCATGGTCGGTTGATGAGATTGGCTATGGCTTATCACAGGTCCTGCTCGATTAGGTAATCGGCCAACCTCTCAACAACCATGTTGCACTGTCCTGGACTCCTGGTGCGACGGGATGAGGAACAGGAGAACTTGACCAGTCTTTTTCATGGTCGCACCACCAGAACCCTAATGGTAACAAAATGTTAATGTCTGATTGAAAACTTCTGAGATTTTGATTATGTTACCTTCTTTCCACGGATGACTGCTCCGGCTTCTCCTTGGATTACCATGTACTTTGAACTGTCGAGGTGCAATCCTGTAGGAGCAAGGTGACCTGGTTTGTCGAAATCTTTCATGATGTCTGTGATTTCCGGAGCCTTCACCTGAAAGAAAGAAAAACATACTACCAGTTTGGACGGCTGGCTGGACAAGGCCACGTTAGATGAATTCTTGTCTCGGTAAGCAATAATGGCTTTGCTCTTTATAATGTTAACATGTACAGTGACAATTCTCGTGCAACCAACCATGAAAGAGAACCCAAAACCTTAGACAGACAGCTAAAAGTGGCATGCAGATACCTATCTCTACGGGGAATTGAACAAATAACCAGTCCCTATTGGACCATATTGTGTTGACTCCAATCACTCTGCCGTGCCAGTCACCATATAATCAGCACACAATGTGGATATATACGTCGTATATCATCCAGATTTTCCATATCAGTCCATGATGCATAGCTAAAAAGGAGGTTTTCAACTCCAGTGGAAGCAGAACCCACAAAGCCAATAAGTTGTGGGGTTCTATACTTCGTATATTATCCAGATTTTCCATATTCGAATGAGTTAGTGTAAGGCTACAATGGACAAGAGCAAGTCAAAAAGACGTTCACATTTATGTGTTCTGTGTTAGTGGAGACTGCAAAAGGCAATGCCTCAGACGAAAATCATCATCCGTGACTCCATTGATAGATCGAGTCATCCCGATATCCACTTTCTTCGTTACCAGGTTAAATGATCGACACTGGATTCGTTCCCTCATCCATTAATAGAAAACTAAATATTGAGGAAAAACATTGCAGAATCGTTTATAGATTGGCGAGAGAAACCATCTCGAACAGCTCAATACACAAATACGACAAATTGACGGAACATCAACAACATCAGAATAGGGAATCAGAAACGAGCTAAGGACTTCAAATTATGAAATTCGACGCAGAATCGTTGGATACAACAGCGGTAAATCAAATCGGAGTCGGAAATACCTGAGGGAAATTGGAGCTCTGAGCTCAGACGTTGCCGTCGTGGCAAACGATGGCGGCGAGATGATGTCCTTGGCCATCGATGTCGCACATCAAGTGCTCATCCACATACGTTTGCCACGACATTTTCTCTCCGATCTTCTTCTCCTTCTTCTTCTTCAATGGACGTTCCAAAATGCTTCGCTTCGTCTATCGCGTATATAAGTGTGGCTCATGGAACGAACTCGGGTTTGGTCATGCATAACAGGATAGCAGAGATGGGTCTGCCCATGGAGCCATATGAGTGGTACCTCGATCTCCGTCGCTTTGGAACTGTCAAACACAGCGGGTTTGGACTCGGGTTCGAAAGGATGATCCTTTTCGCGACGGGTATCGATAACATCAGAGATGTTATCCCTTTCCCACGGTATCCTGGTCGAAACCTCGTTCTCGACACATAAGAGCGAGTCACGAGATTTGAACGGAGAAACGTTGATGAAATCTCAGCCGTCAACCGGTTTCAAACGAAATATGAAAGATCGAATTCCAGCCGTCGATTTCCCTATCGTTCTTTCGCCTTTATTGTCTCTCCAAACCTACTTTTAATACCATTAATCTTTCATCACTATTTGGTAAAATAAAAATTAACTTTGTTAATAATTATCTTTTATTTAACTATAAATCTTCAAATCCTGAAATGTATTATAATTCCAATATATAATTTTTAAAAATTTAATAAAATCTATAATTATATTATTACGAATCTTATTTAGCAAATAACTATTTGTGTATGATGCTGTACACTTTTTCAATCATTCTCAATGACAAAGAAGAAAAAAAGAACTTTCAATAGCTGAATCCAAAGTTTATTAACGCATTGTACCATTTAACAAACGTAACAAGAGACTTTGACCGTATGATATAATTCTTTTTGTTTACAATTAATAATACCTAATCACTATAGCATAGCATTGTTTTCAGGAAAATATTGTTTCATAATTAATTAAACGCCAATATTATAATATTATATGAAATGCAAGTAAAACATTATACCAGGCAAGAATATATATATAATTATTTAACCTTGATACAATATTATTGCATTCCATAACGTCTGTAATGGATGTATGTTATATTGTTATATGATATAAGATGTCATACAAAATCGTTCAATCATCTTCATGCCAACAATTATCAAAACTATTTCTGCCATAATTCCCATTAGATTGCATGTGATTTAAAATAATTGATGATATTATGGCTTTTCATTCAAACAATCATGATTCATAATATAAGTTTGTTTATAATATTCAACTAATTAAATATTTGTTAGGACATATTCAAGTTTAAAATATTATTACGTTATTTTGTTATCAGTGCAATGTATGCAGATTTGTTTCTATTTCCCTAATTATACGTGTTTAGGTCTGTCATTTATCTCCATATTTCTCCTTTTTTTCTCATTTTATATATTCGTTTCCATATTTATTTACACTACAATTATTTATTGTTTTCCTTTTTCTATTTTGATTTTCGTGACAGTTTTTTGTTTGGATTTTTATAAGAGAATAAATCCATATAAATATACACACACATACACATATCCTATATATTATAGGATGTTTAGTCAACCTGGCTAGTTCAACCGGTGAAACGGAGGTGCAGAACGTCTGTCCCGTCCCGAGTTTGAATTTCAGGTTGGAGAGGGGGCACATAATTCAAATCACATGGCTGACTCCCGCCCTCGAGATTAGTCTGAGGTTCGGTTCAGAAAACACGGTTACCCAAAAAAAAATATTATATGATGTTTTTTTGTACTACAGCACCAGCAGCAGACCGCAACTCAGCGGCATACGTGGCGCCCACGTAAGCAGAAAGATAAAGTACCAGGTCAGCTTACTTTTTCAGAACTTTGCCAGCGTGGCGACAAGCTACGGACAGCTGTTCCGTCCCCACAACTACGGTTCCACTTTTGTTGTTCTTATCGCCAACTAATCGCGATAAGTTGAGAATCTCGTCTCCCTTGTTTTCCAGGGGGAAAAATCAAATTGATATCAAAATTAAAAAAAATATATATAGTTCGACAATATGCGTTGCACTTAATTTCCAGCTAACTAATTATTCCTTGGTACATAAAATAATTTTCAGATAATTTTATATGCAGACAACATTAATAATAAATCATAAAGCTTATAAACATAGATAATACATAAATTTATTAAATAATATTATTAAAATATATTATAAAATGTGTAGAATATAGATATCGAAAAATGTTGCTAAATTTTTCTTGGGTATAATTTTCTTACTATGAATTATATTATGACATAAATTAAATAAAAAGTTGATATATCATCAACTTTTAATATTTTCAAATTATTTTAACTTCAACGAATATTATATATATATAGTTGATGACAACCAAATAGAATTTTTTTTACATATTTTATGATATTAGATTGGTTTATTGAGATTTCAATCCAATTACATTCATCTTAAATCGGAAAGTTGTCTTACTATAATTAAATTATATTATTCCTCCCAATAACCATTCCAACATGAGATATTGATATATTTCTCTCTAAATTATTGTATATAAAGAAATACTATAATTTAAATAAAGAAAATTTTGTCATTGTTAGCTGTAAGATCTTTTAAAATTTACATCTTACCAAATAAAAAAGCAAAAAGGTTTTGTTTATCAACAATTTATTACTTGCCAAAAACTTCTTATTTATCAAGCTATAGTTTTTTCCATCTATTTATCAAAGCTATGATCACAAATGCATGTAATCTGAATCTATAAATACAATGGTCAATTTCTCGCGAAACGATAACAATTTGAGAAAAAGGAGAAAAGAGACAAAAACGAGCAACCACAGAGTTATCCCACAGTGGACTGTGCAATAAAACAGAGGCGAGTCATCATCACCTTTCGCTATAAGCCTCAAGAGACGTTGAAGAAGAAACAAGAAGAAGAAATTGAAGACGACGAATATGGATCCATGCCCGTTCATACGGATCGACATCGACTCACTCGCTTTACAGCTACCGCAGCCGGCGACTTCTAGGCCGGCGTCCACTGGAGTCCACCCGTCGGCGACGCCGTGCTATTGCAAGCTCCGAATCAGCAACTTCCCCTCCCAAACAGCTCTCCTCCCCCTCTCCTCTGCAACCGCCGGAGAATATTCCGGTGACAACGACGGTTCTCCGTCGGATCCAGGTTCGTCGGCGCCGGGGTTCGATCTTGACGGTGCCGCCATCAGTCGTCTCTCCTCCAGGCCCGTTGCTCTCCGGGTCTCCGTTTACGCCGGTCGGATGGGGACCACCTGCGGACTCTCCGCCGGGAAAATTCTCGGACACGTCCAAGTGAATGTCGACGTGGCAGCGGTGAGGTCCAGAGCGGTGGTTTGCCACAGTGGGTGGATGAAGCTGGGAGGCGAAACGGGTAAACCGGCGGCGAGGCTACATCTAGTGGTTAAGGCTAAACCGGATCCCCGGTTCGTTTTCAAATTCGGTGGGGAACCGGAGTGTAGCCCTGTAGTTTACCAGATCCAAGGGAACATAAAGCAACCGGTTTTTAGTTGCAACTTCAGCGCCGACCGGAATTCCAGAACCCGGTAAGATAGTTTCTTCCGTTCTTCCGATTTCAGCTCACCGTAGAAACACGTAGATTCATTATGCTAACATGCGCCGATTGTTTCTAAATGTTATTTTCTTACAACTATGACTTGAAAAGGGTTGACATTAATTTTCTGATCTAAATAACTATTATTATTGGTAATGAGTTATATAGTTATGAATTTCATTTTTTTTCGAACCTTTTTTATTTCGTGATAATTGGGCTTCATTTTTATATTCCCATATTTTGCAATAAATTTATTATTATACTACAATTATGGCTTACCTTTCAGCGGCTTCGTACCAAACATGCAAAAGTTGGCGCGACTGCATTATTATTGAATAATCAGTTGAGTCAAATGGTTATTAATTATTATGCCTTTTTTACAAAAAAAAATGTTCCACCATCCAACCACCATACCATCCAAATTACATCCATTAATTCCATTTTTTTTTGTAAAGTCATTAATTCCAATTTTATAAACCATCTAATGAACATTCAGTAATAATTTTCTTATAACCGTTGTAAAAAAAAAAACAGGCCACCATCTCCGGTCTCCGGCGCCGGCGAGAGAGGAGGATGCATTATGAGGACATTTTCCGGCGAAGTCAACAAGAGGCAAGTCAAAGAGCGTAAAGGCTGGATGATAATAGTATACGACCTCTCCGGCTCCGCCGTCGCTGCCGCCTCCATGGCCACTCCCTTCGTCCCTTCCCCTGGCTCCGACCGAGTCTCACGCGCCAACCCCGGCGCTTGGCTCATCCTCCAGCCTCACTGCGGCCTCTCCGTCGGCTCCTGGAAACCCTGGGGTCGCCTCGAGGCCTGGCGCGAGCGCGGCGGCTCCGACGACGGTCTCGGCTACCGGTTCGAGCTCGTTACCGACGTCGGCGGAGGTGGGATCTCGATCGCGGAGGGGACGATGAGCGTCAAGCACGGTGGGAGGTTCTGTATCGACGGTCGCCGGAGCTCGCCGGACCCGAGATCGCCGGTGAGAGGATTCGTGATGAGCGCGACGGTGGAGGGAGAAGGACGCGTGAGCAAGCCGGCGGTGGAAGTGGCGGCAGAGCATGTCGGAAGCACGGCGGACGCGGCGCTGTTCGTGGCGTTGTCGGCGGCGATCGATCTAAGTATCGACGCTTGCCGGCTGTTCTCGCGTAAACTCCGGAAAGAGCTTTGCCACGGCGATGAAGAAGTCTGAATCGCCGGAAAAATATCTAGGGGGAGGAGGAGAAGTGAGTTTTCTACTGCGATGACGACGGCGCGTGGTCTCCGGTTCTGACAGCGGATGAGAATTCTCTATTTTGTTGTCGGACTCTTGAATTGCATTTCAAATCCGGTTCTTCGTTTTCTGAGTTGCATCCTTTTGGTTTCTGCATAAATTGTACTTGACTGTGAGAGTGAACATTGTACAGATCGAGGTTGATTTGGTTTTTCCGACAATGCATCATCTTTTTGTTGCTTCCTTCAGTTCAGTTCGGATCTGTTTGCAAGATTTTGTTTTGGGCCTAAAAGGCCTAAATCAGGGCCAATCATATCAATTATCCGGAGGGTGATTTCGTAATTATAAGTGATTTGAAGGGTATTTTAAGCGGGAGAATTGCAAAAATGACTTTAAATGTCATTTTTACTTTTGGCATGACCTCCCTTCTTTTTTTAAAAAAACTAACATCATCTCATAACCTTATAATTGTATCCTTCCAAAAATACCCTTCCTTTTTTATTTAATATTTTAATTTTAAAAAATATTTCAACTCTCTCTCTCCTCTTCCACCTCTCTCTCTCCATTCGCATATGTGGAACAAACTACAGTCTCTCTTCTTATCCATTCTATAATCTTCCAACACTCTTTACTTCCAATCTATTTTTCAGCTAATTTATTGTGAAAAGACAATATTAAGTTTGAGCATTTCATCGATTAAATACAAATCTAAATAATAGGTAAATATTGTTTCTAAAATACGTTATTAAATTTGTTGTGAAAAAACAATATTAAGTTTGGGCATTTCATCAACAATACCATGATTCAAGTTATTATAACTGATCGAAATCGTTAAATATGTGAAATTCATCAAAATGGAAGAATTCGGAAAACTGGTCATACATATGTGTCAGAATGGTCAAATTGGTCGTACTTCTAACTGGTCATACTTGTCAAATTGGTCAAAATGATTATTCTCACAAAATTGGTAACGCTGGTCATAATCATCAAAGTGGTCAAACTGATCATACTCATTAAATTTATTATATGATATGATTATTACTATGTTAACCTAAAGTACTAGTAGTGTTTGTGTAATACATAGGATACAATTGACTTATGTTGGAAGATATTTTTTTTACACATGAAATTAGAACTCCAAAACGATGCATTAGTATTTTTATAACCCCTATACAACTTTTCAAATCGTTTAAATTTAATTTAGACCTTTCTTTTTCGTACCCAAATGGTCAGATGGTCATACAATCAGACGGTCATACCTTGGTCAGACGGTCAGACTTGTTCGAAATTGTATAAGATCTTGACACGTGTCAGTAGAAGACAGTTTATATCCGGCAACAGGGCAAATGAATGGGGAAAATTGCAGAAATAACATCAAATGTCGTTTCTTACTTCAAGGGATGACCTTCTAGGTTTAGGGTTTTAAAAAAAAACTAAAACAACGAAAAGACTAGTTTACCCTTAAAAAATTGAATACGTGGCAACCTTCTATCTATATAGTGAAAAAAACTTCGAAAATTTCTTCTCTCACTTTTTCTAAAAATTCAAAACGTAAATTTTTTTTTCTTTTTCTCTCCAAAGATATTTCTTGGCGATTCTAACAAAAAATTTCTTAATTTTTGTCTTACACTCGACATATTTCTCTACTATGACAAGATCCGACGTTCCAAAGTTGAAGAATTTGAGAATGCATGGAAAGTGTTCGATAAAAATCCTCAGAGAAAATTTAGCTCTTAACACGTCATACTAGTCATATCGGTCAGACTTTGGTCATACCGATCAGATTTTGGTCAGAGGTCACAATTTGGTTAGCCGGTCACACTTTGGGTGAAGATAACTTATGTTAAGAGATTTTTTTTATACATGGAATTAGATCACCAAAACGATAAAAAATATATTCTTATAACTCTTATACAACTTTTTGAATCGTTTAAAGTTAATTTAGACCTTTACTTTTCGTGTGAAAAATAGTCATACCGGTCACACTTTGATAAGACGGTCAGACATTGGTCATACAATCAGAATTTGGTCAGACAGTCAAACTTATTGAAAATTGATGAATTTATCATTTTTAAAAAGTGTTAATATGGTATAATAATAATCTCATATAACAAATCGGTCAGACGGTCAAACTTTGGTCAAACCGATGATACTTTAGTGAGACAATCAGACGGTCAACCTTTGGTCATACCGATCATATCATCAGTCTGGTCATAAGGTTATACTGGTCAGACTAGTCATACTTTTTCAAAAATGATGAATTTACGAATTTAAAAGTGTTGATCAAACATGTTCTTCTTATATAGAATTTTAGCTTATTAGGGTTTCACTTCGATTCGATTCGAAGGAACAATATCATTTAAGCTTACACTCGTCAAATTTTTCCTTTATAACGAGATATGGCACACCAAAGTTGAAGATTTTGAGAATGTATGGAAAGTGTTTGATGAAAATCCTGAGAGAAATTTTGGCTACCGAAATACCACACCGGTCAAACCGATCCGATTTTGCTCATGGTTTCAAGAACAATGATATCATCAATAATGTAACTCCTTCCAAATAAGTCCTAAAGTAATAGTAGTGTTTGTATAATACATTAGATAAATTGACTTATGTTGGAAGATATTTTTTTTACACATGAAATTAGAACTCCAAAACGATGCAGTAGTATTTTTATAACCCCTATACAACTTTTCAAATCGTTTAAATTTAATTTAGACCTTTCTTTTTCGTACCCAAATGGTCAGACGGTCATACGGTCAGACGGTCATACCATAGTCAGACGGTCAGACTTGTTCGAAATTGCATAATTCATCGTTTTAAAAATGTTAACATAGTGATAATTATATCATATCACAAATTGTTTAAGTTCAAACTCGGTCGTAACAATATGGATTGACCACATTTTTTGTTTGACAATGTAACTCCTCCCAAAGAATACCTAAAGTACTAGTAGTGTTTGTGTAATACATAGGATACAATTGACTTATGTTGGAAGATTTTTTTTTACACATGAAATTAGAACTCCAAAATGATGCAAAATTATTTTTAGAACCCCTATACAACTTTTCAAATCGTTTAAATTTAATTTAAACCTTTCTTTTTCGTACCCAAATGGTCAGACGGTCATACGGTCAGACGGTCATACCATAGTCAGACGGTCAGACTTGTTCGAAATTGCATAATTCATCGTTTTAAAAATGTTAACATAGTAATAATCATATCATATCACATATTGTTTAAGTTCAAACTCGGTCGTAACAATATGGATTGACAACATTTTTTGTTTGACAATGGAATTCATTCCAAAGAATAACTAAAGTACTAGTAGTGTTTGTGTAATACATAGGATACAATTGACTTATGTTGGAAGATATTTTTTTTAAGCTTAAATGATATTGTTCCTTCGAATCGAATCGAAGTGAAACCCTAATAAGCTAAAATTCTATATAAGAAGAACATGTTTGATCAACACTTTTAAATTCGTAAATTCATCATTTTTGAAAAAGTATGACTAGTCTGACCAGTATAACCTTATGACCAGACTGATGATATGATCGGTATGACCAAAGGTTGACCGTCTGATTGTCTCACTAAAGTATCATCGGTTTGACCAAAGTTTGACCGTCTGACCGATTTGTTATATGAGATTATTATTATACCATATTAACACTTTTTAAAAATGATAAATTCATCAATTTTCAATAAGTTTGACTGTCTGACCAAATTCTGATTGTATGACCAATGTCTGACCGTCTTATCAAAGTGTGACCGGTATGACTATTTTTCACACGAAAAGTAAAGGTCTAAATTAACTTTAAACGATTCAAAAAGTTGTATAAAAGTTATAAGAATATATTTTTTATCGTTTTGGTGATCTAATTCCATGTATAAAAAAAATCTCTTAACATAAGTTATCTTCACCCAAAGTGTGACCGGCTAACCAAATTGTGACCTCTGACCAAAATCTGATCGGTATGACCAAAGTCTGACCGATATGACTAGTATGACGTGTTAAGAGCTAAATTTTCTCTGAGGATTTTTATCGAACACTTTCCATGCATTCTCAAATTCTTCAACTTTGGAACGTCGGATCTTGTCATAGTAGAGAAATATGTCGAGTGTAAGACAAAAATTAAGAAATTTTTTGTTAGAATCGCCAAGAAATATCTTTGGAGAGAAAAAGAAAAAAAAATTTGCGTTTTGAATTTTTAGAAAAAGTGAGAGAAGAAATTTTCGAAGTTTTTTTCACTATATAGATAGAAGGTTGCCACGTATTCAATTTTTTAAGGGTAAATTAGTCTTTTCGTTGTTTTAGTTTTTTTTTTAAAAACCCTAAACCTAGAAGGTCATCCCTTGAAGTAATAAACGACATTTGAGGTTATTTCTGCAATTTTCCCATTTTAAGCTGATGGACCTTAATTTCGAAATGCTTTGACCAATCAGGTTGCAGATTTCCGAATGCTCCTGCGAAGTTATTGCAAACTAGTCCTCGAGACTTTCTAATTCCGATGATGATCGATAAACCAGAGGAATGCGACTGTAATGATTCGCGGCGATCATGGCGAAACGACGTCGCTACGAGCAGGACGAAGACGAAGAAGAAGAAGAAGAAAGTGTTTGGGTTTAAGGTCGATGGAGGACCGAAGAGAGCTCTGATTGGGGCGGGTGGTCGGATCCTGTTTTACCCGACTCTTTTGTACAACCTTGTCCGTTTCAAGCTTGAATCCGAGTTCCGATGGTGGGATCGAATCGATCAGGTCTTGTTCCTTAGTATTTCAGTATTTCTTTCTGGTTATTCTTTTTTGTCCCGTTTGCTTTCTGAGAACGGCACTTGCAAAATTCTTACTTATTTTTCCGTGAGAGCAACGAGTTGTCCTAATTTTAGGGTAGTAATTTATTTTTCTGTTTGGTTGCTGAGAAAGTGACGAAAGGTTTTCGAACGACTTATATAGATGAGAAATTGTTGGTATTGTCAGAATTGCTTGTCCGGGTTAAGGGGTCTTGAGGGATTTGAGCTTCGTTGTATTGATGATTCCCGAGGATGGAAAATAAGAATTCCATTGAATCTGAAGGTTGGCTTCTTCTTGTGGGATTCGGGAAAAATGGGAGAGAAGGCAAAAGATGAGCTTATCGAGCTCCTTTTATGATGGGAGGTCCATCTCTATTCAGTTCAAGGTTTCATCAATGGGATTCCGACTTGGCCAAAACTTGGGCTGAATAGTTGAGATCATCTAAATTTGGAAGATTTAGCAGTATAAAATACACAAGAATTTGTTGAAATGATTTCATTGTGTGAGACAATGCAAGCTTTTTTTTACTGATGGGGAAAGCAATTCCATGGTTCAGTATCTTCTGATGGGAGCGGTTCCTTTCCGTAAGGATGTTCTCCGGCTGAAGCGGCTTGGCGTTGGCGGCGTAATTACTCTAAATGAACCTCACGAGACATTGGTCCCCTCCTCTTTGTACCGTGTAAGAATGATGTCTGAAAACAACTGCTAGAGCTGCTGCTTCTTACTCTAAACATATTTTGACCGATTTGATCCTTTCAGGAACACGGAATGGAGCAACTAGTTATACCAACACGGGATTATCTATTTGCTCCTTCAGTTTCAGAGATAAGCCGAGCTGTAGATTTCATTCACAGTGAGTTGCCATTTGAGCATAGAGTTACTTCTCTGTGTTGCTTAATGTGATCGTATCTTTGGTTTCCTCGGTTACAGAGAACAGTTTGAGCTGTAAAAGCACTTACGTCCATTGCAAAGCCGGACGAGGAAGAAGCACTACTGTTGTCCTCTGCTATCTGGCAAGTTACTAAAAGACTGACACTTTTGAATCAATTTGGTCGAATCACTTGTCCCCATCAACAGATTCCCTGCTGTTTTCTCCTTTCTACATTTCATTTGAGTTTTTCTCTACGATGTTCAGATTCAACACAAGAACATGACTCCTACCACTGCCTTTGAATACGTGCGTTCAATAAGACCTCGGGTTTTGTTACATCCTTCACAGAGGAAGGTAAGATGGAGATTTTTAATTCATACATTCTACTTAGAATGCACGGTTTCTGAATGTATCCCCCCCCCAAGAAGAGTTCAAATAACAGTCAATGATCTCTGGAAATCGAACAAGACGACCCTCTTGATGATTCTCAGCCATTTCTAGATTCTGTTCAGAAAAAAGTGTTCTTTTGGTGTCTATATGTATATGTAGTAGGTGGTGGAGGATTACAGCAGGCGGGAACAAATACACATTTCAACATCTGATCAAGAACGCCATGGCGATTTCTGTGACCGCAGAGATTCGGTTGAGGAGACTGGTATGGAGTCTGCACCAGTCAAAAGCCGAACCAATCGTTTGAAGGGTCTCTTCTTGTCTCTTCGCATTTTTCGGAATCTTAGGTTCTCTTGACATGTTTATGCATTGCGTCATAACTCTCAGATGGCTTGTCTTTAACTGCCGGTACAATCATAACCGGGATTTTATTGATCTATACCGGAAAACCGGTATTAAAAATGTGTAATTGCTTTTGGATTGTAAAAATATTTATATTTACAAAGCGTGACGTGTTTCCCAAGTCTCAAAGGTCTGCCTTTTTGAAGAAATGTTTTTCATGGAAACAGTGTATGAATACGCATATACGTACGTCTATACACACATGTCCGCCTGATTTTAGAATCTCGTGTTTTTTTTTTCAGATTCTTGCAGCGCAGCCCACTAATGCGCGCCACCCGTTTGATCGAATTCTTCGTCCAAAAAGCTAAAAGTTCTCATTTTTTCCCGGAATCCAATCTTTCCCACCATTATCCGCGAAGCAGAAACTTAGCCAAACCGCTACTCCGTACAATCTCATTGCTCCTGCCTCCTCTCTCTCTCTCTCCCCCTCAGTTTTGATACTTTTTCCAGCTTTGGTGGTCAGAAATTTCTGATCCCTGTAAAAACGGGTCGCCTTTTGTTGGATTGATGGATTTGGTGCATCTCTTATTCTCCCCCCTCGTTCCAGGGACTGGGTTTCTTATTGTTCTCCTGTTCGGTTCCTTACTGACGAATTCGAGGTCTTGGGGTACCGACAAAATCCATTTCCGTCGAGGTTTTGCTTTAGGTTTTCTGGTTCGGGCGTCGCCATGGGTTCTCTCGGAAGTACTCAGCCGAAGATCATCAAGGGTCCTGACGGTTATATTCTCGAGGACGTTCCTCATCTCACCGATTACCTTCCCGATCTTCCTGTACGTTGTTGTTCGAATCCCTATCCTTCTGACCTTTGTGTTGCTGAATCTGTTTGGTTGATGGGAAACACTGGTTTGAGCTTTGATTCCAGCTTGGATTCTGAATCATATCTTTGAAAGAGGCTTTTTTTCCTGATTGGAGAAGGGACGAACTTTTGCTTATTGTTTGCTTGATCTAACAATAGAGGAAAGATCAAAGCTTGATCTATATAGAAAGATACGCATGTATTGTCTTTCTTGCACGTTCTGTGGCCGGTTTAACTGTTTGCATAACTCGGAACTGATGATAGTTTGGATGAATATCTCAAGTCATTGAACTTAGAAACAGGGTTCAGATCACTTCGTGTTCGTGGCCTTGGTATTTTACTCTGTAAATGGACAAGTGTTGGTAAAAATTTTACTTGAGCAATTTCTTACGGCATTTCTTGGTTTTTTTCCCCACTGCAGACCTACCCTAATCCATTGCAAGACAATCCAGCATATTCAGTGGTCAAGTAAGTCAGTTAGCCTTTTCAGTTTGCTTCCCATGATCTTGTTCTTTAATGATGTTCCATGACCATGGGTGGTGTTCCCAGAATCCCAATCATGTTCCTGTCTGTGTTCACGAAGCTATCATTGGTTTCTGTTGCTTACAAGAGTTCTTTCCTCTCTCAGGCAATACTTTGTTGATGCTGATGACAGTGTCCCTCAGAAGGTATAGTTCGCCCAGGCCTATCCCAGCTTCTTTTCCATGTTTTCCACTCCTTGGCTTGTGTTTTATGCTTCCTTAATCACTGTCCAAACCAATGTTTTACAGATTGTGAGCTTATCTAGCCAGATCGTTACAAGTAGTTACATTTGACCGAGAAATTGATAACTTCCACTTATGTTCTCTCTTACCTCCTCTGTTTTCTTGTCACATAGGTTGTTGTTCAGCACAATAGCCCGAGAGGAGTCCATTTCCGACGAGCTGGGCCACGCCAGAAGGTATTGTTAGTTTTTATGTTTCGATATTATGGTTTTATCGTATACGGGCTGTCGTTTTTTCCAACTTAAAAGTGTGATCCTTGACTTGATTTCTGCAGGTGCACTTTGAATCTGATGAAGTGCACGCTTGTATTGTTACCTGTGGGGGCCTTTGCCCTGGCCTCAACACTGTGATTAGAGAATTAGTTTGCGGCTTGTCATACATGTATGGTGTGAAGAAAATTCTTGGAATAGATGTAAGTTTATTATCACAAGTCCATCACAACTCATTTATATCATCAAAACAAGCATGGTGATCATCTCGATTCTTTCCTTTGTCATGCCATTGGAGACTTCAGGGTGGATACAGGGGATTTTATGCGAAGAATACTATCCCCTTGAGCTCTAAATTCGTGAACGATATCCATAAGCGTGGAGGGACTATCCTTGGGACCTCACGAGGTGGCCACGATACCACAAAGATAGTTGACAGCATTCAGGATAGGGGAATTAATCAGGTTTTGGGGGAGAGATATAGAGTCTATTTGTGCAAAAATTGTGTTTCCACATGTATATATGTGTGGTTTTTTTACATAGTTTATGTTATCATTCAGGTTTACATTATCGGAGGAGATGGAACCCAACGAGGAGCATCCATTATATTTGAGGTGACACCTTCATATAAACCAGTTGTGACATTTCTGAATTTAAACAATAAGCTACCGAACATGTAGGAAATTAGAAGACGTGGCCTGAAAGTTGCAGTGGTTGGAATACCGAAAACCATTGATAATGATATACTGGTAGGTATCTCTTCCATTGCTTTTGCTTCTTACTGTCTTTATTATAAACAAGGCTTATCTCATAATTTTGTAGGTGATAGATAAATCCTTTGGGTTTGACACCGCTGTGGAGGAAGCTCAACGTGCTATTAACGCAGCACATGTTGAAGCCGATAGTATCGAGAATGGTATTGGCCTTGTGAAGCTCATGGGTCGGTACAGTGGTAAGTTCTCTCCTCTATACTTAATCTCATCACCTCTTTACCATAACACCTGAGGAAAATGAAATAGAAACACAGCCTTTTAGCATACCTTTGAGCTGTTATTGCTAATAAAGGTTACCAATGAAAACAGGGTTCATAGCTATGTATGCTACTCTTGCCAGCAGAGATGTGGATTGCTGCTTGATTCCGGAGTCACCCTTTTACCTCGAGGGAGAGGGTGGACTGTTTGAGTTCATAGAGAGACGGCTAAAGGAAAACGGTCACATGGTTATTGTCATTGCTGAAGGTGCTGGGCAGGAATTAATGCTGGAATCCATGACTCTGAAGGACGCCTCTGGTAATAAACTTCTTAAAGATGTTGGACTCTGGTTATCACAGAGCATTAAGGTAGGAGACTGGTTACCTCAGGCGTCGTTCTCGGGAAAAAAAGTTGCAAACTTCGATGCTTTGAATCCACTTTCAGGGTCGTAAGACTCATGGGCATTGTTGAAACTCGGCAACTGATTCGTTTTCTTTTCATTGTAGGATCATTTTTCGAAGAAGAAGACAGTGATCAATCTCAAATACATAGGTAAAGTCATGTCCTTTTCACCCACGCCTGCTAACATTTCCACTCGTACTTCTAAAGCCGTTCTTGCCATTCAATTTCAGATCCTACGTACATGATCCGTGCCGTTCCCAGCAATGCATCGGACAATGTTTACTGTACACTACTGGCTCAGAGCGCCGTGCATGGTGCCATGGCCGGATACACCGGCTTCACCAGCGGTCTTGTCAATGGCAGACACACCTACATTCCCTTCTACGTAAGTAGACATGATCCATCTCCTTACGCAGGAAAACCCTCGTATAAAGCTACAAATTTTTTCTATGTCCTGGTCTTAAAATCGCTCGAAAACAAGTCCTTGAACGGAAATCTCATCCGTTTCACCCTGTAAAACCCGAGTTTTGGCTCATCAGCTAGAATGTTTGCACCGTTGGGAATTATACGAACACTAAATTCAAGCTTATACCATGTAAATAGATTGGTGATGTCAATATCATTGTACTGTGTCTTTGTGTCGCAGAGAATAACAGAGAAACAGAACAAGGTGGTGATAACAGACAGGACGTGGGCGAGGCTGTTGTCGTCAACGAACCAGCCCAGTTTCTTGAGCTCCAAGGATGTCTCGGATGACCTCAAATTGTTGCCGGAGACTCAGATGCTCGGAGACCGTAGCTGCAACGGCGTCGCCGATGTTCCTCCGGTGACCAAAGAGGTAGCTCAGTGAAAAAATCCACCAGAACGACGCTGAAATGACGATTTTACCCTCCTGTTGCCGAGAAAAGTTAGTTTTAAGATGCCTATTTTCGCAGTTCTACATATCTTCTCGGCTGCTCTGCCTGAGGAAATCTTTGTTCCACTTTTTTTTGCTTCTGATTTTAACTACATGATTGATTATTGTATCTGTACATATTTACATTTCATTGCTCTATTTTTGTGGTTTTCCCCCCGAATGTCAATATTTTAGTGCTGAAATTTGGGGGAAAGCTGTAGGATGGATTTAATTTTATACTGTAAAAGCAAACATATGTAATCATAAACCCTTGGAAGTGAAGGATAATGCAAACTTCATCCTTCCTTATTACGTGGAACAATGGTGGATCTTCAAAAGCAGAACAAGCTTAAAGAGCAGATTGACCGTACAGTTCGACCATGAACTCATCATCATCTATATCCAATTTGATTGCAAAACAATATTCTAGTGCACAAAGCTTGATTACTCATTCAAAGGCAAAAATCGAGGAAGCAATGACCATGGCAGATCGCGCAAATCAAAAATTGTATTTTCATAGCATCAAGTAAAAAAAGATCATGGTTCAGAGCAAAACGATCAAAGCTTAAACCAAAGTGTCTGAAAAGTACATATTCATCAAATGTCCTGTCCGAACCATTCTTCAACTTCTACCTCTACTTCTCAGACGAGTTGGGTCCCCTCTTCTTCCCGAAACCAACAACTGCACAACTCAAACGGGAAATTTTCTTTACAACCAATAAATTTGCAAGAAAAATGTAAACTTTACGATAATCCAAGATTAATCTCCTTTGTTTACGATGATTCCAGGGTACTTATCTAACTACAGTCCAGGGTTCTTGTTAAAACGATTCTTCAGATTGTTCTCACTGTCCAAACTATCGAGTTCATCACTTTCCCGTTACGCAAAACATCTAGCAATTAAGATTACGCAAACAACAATTGAAGCAACAGACAGTGACCAGCCGATCTAGATCGCCATTATGCCCTCAACCTCACTGTTTTAGTTGCCGATTAGTTTCCAGCTTCAGGCCTAAAGAATGTGCTTTCAATCCACACGACGGGACGTAAAAGGAGAAAAGATCGGAGAAATTACCGGCGGTGACGAATCGGCGGTTGTACTGCATACGCTTGTGAGCGCGTCCACGCGGCTTCTTCTTCTTGTCCTGCTTCGCCACCTTCGGCGTCTGCCCTCTGACCTTTCCGGCACGAGCCAAAGATCCGTGGACTTTTCCTGAAACATCAACGATGTCTCTCATTCATCAGATCCAATACATCAAATCACCAATCGGTTTTCGATTTCCTTAAAAATACATCATAGTGAAGACTTCGCGAAAGTCCTAAACGCTCCGAGGATTACCCATGGCGAATTTAGATTTGCTGCTTTCGTTCCCGGCGGCTACTTTGAAGTGCTATGTGAAACCAGAGCGCAACCTCGGAACCTAAAATTAGGGTTTTGATGGCTCTATATATACACACGTGTAGTATATATATATACGTATTCCCAGAAGTCGAATCTGGGCGAGGCCAGCTAAAAACAGATTAATGGGCTTGTTAAAGCCCATACATACTAGGCCCATTAATCCATTAAAATTATCATACGAAATGACTTCCTCAATTTATAAATGGCTAAATATTTCAGTTCGATCAATTTAATACGACGAGATGGAGGTAATTAATAACGGCATCAATTTATACCAAATAAACATTAATTTATTTATTTGGTATAAATTGGTTCAAATAATTATTTATTTAGATATTTAAAATTGAAGTATTTACAAATTTAGATATTTTTATTGAATTTCATTTTTTTATAATATAAGGAAGGAAAATGAGATCGTACTCAGTGCTGTCGGAGAATCAAAGCTGAGATTCTACGGTCGCCGTAGAATCTTTAATTAGTCATTTCCGATTTTACCCCTATAGGATTCCCAAAATCAAACAATGGCATGAATCCAACGGTAGAGATTGTTCATCTCATGGTCCTTAATGCACCGAATCCCCCCACCAAATTCTTAAACCTTTTTAGGGTTTTTAGCAAAATCTCCACCTCTGCAACTTCATTTCATTTCACCTTCTTCGATTGACGGCAATGGCTGACGAAACCTCGCCTCCCGTAGATCAGTTAGTCGTCGCATCCGTACGCGAAGATGGACCCTCGTCTTCTCTGGTGAAGAAAGCCCAATTCTCGGACCGGGTCCTTATCTGTTCGATCGTCGGAAGAACCGACGGCGGAGCTGGGCTCGCCGGTGAACGTGTCCGGGTCGGCGGATGGGTCAAAACGGGTAGAGAGCAGGGGAAAGGAACCTTCGCATTTCTGGAGCTCAATGACGGGTCATGCCCTGCGAATCTTCAGGTTATCGTGGACGCGTCCGTATCGGATCTCGCCCCGCTCGTTCCGACAGGCACTTGCGTATCCGTCGACGGTGTTTTGAAGACTCCGCCGGAAGGTGCGAAACAGAAGATTGAGCTCCGCGTCGAGAAGGTGATCCATGTTGGAAGAGTGGATCCGGCGAAGTACCCGATTCCTAAGACGAAGCTAACTCTCGAGTTTCTGAGAGATGTTCTTCATCTTCGCGCCAGGACGAATACGGTAAAGTTTCTATATTCTCTTAATACATTTCTTCTTGTCTGCTGCATTCCGTTCAATTTTAGTTGTTCATAAGCATTTATACAGGACTTGCTACCGTATAATCTTTTGATGCATTGTTCATATAGGCTGGGAATGTTTTCGGGTTTTATTCCACATTCTCTAAAAGAATTTAATCCGTTCCAAGTTAAAGTATTGAACTTTTCTGACATTTGAGTCATCTGTTGAGGATTAATAGACTAAATTCCCTTGAAACTGTTCTCTGCTTTTCTTAATGCAGAGGCTTATCATTGATGTAATATTACTTGTGTGTGGCATATCAGATCTCAGCTGTTGCGAGAATCCGAAATGCTCTTGCTTTTGCAACCCACAGTTTCTTTCAAGAGCACAACTTCCTTTACATTCACACTCCGATCGTCACAACAAGTGATTGTGAAGGTGCCGGTGAAATGTTCCAAGTCACGACCTTGATCGGTGAGTCCGAGAGGTTGGAGAAGGACCTGATAAAGAACCCTCCGCCCACAGAAGCTGACGTAGAAGCTGCCAAGCTTGTTGTCAAGGAGAGAGGTGATGCCGTTGCCCAGCTCAAAGCTGCCAAAGCTAGCAAGCAAGATATGGCTCCCGCTGTTGACGAACTCAAGAAAGCAAAGGAGAATGTGGCTGAACTTGAAAAGAGATCTAAGCTTAAACCGGGAATTCCCAAGAAAGACGGGAAAATCGATTATTCCCAGGATTTCTTTGCTCGTCAAGCTTTCTTGACAGTTTCTGGCCAACTACAAGTAGAAACATATGCTTGCGCGCTTAGCAGTGTGTATACGTTTGGCCCGACTTTCCGGGCAGAGAACTCTCACACCTCAAGGCATTTGGCCGAGTTTTGGATGGTTGAGCCTGAAATAGCTTTTGCTGATCTTCAGGTAAAGAATCCACAGTTCTCTTCTTCACTACCGAATGACCTTGATCTGCTCTTGGTACTCTGTGAGTTTTCTAAATGTATTAGGCTTGACCTCGCAAAATTTTCTAGGACGACATGAACTGTGCAGAGGCATATGTTAAATACATGTGCCAGTGGTTGCTTGACAAATGTTACAACGACATGGAACTTATGGCTAAGAATTACGACAAGGGTTGCATTGAGCGGCTTAAAACGGTTGCCTCAACGCCATTCGTACGTGTATCATACACTGAAGCGGTAAAAATGCTCGAGGATGCTGTGGCCAAGGGAAAGAAGTTTGAAAACAAAGTGGAGTGGGGAGTTGACTTAGCATCTGAGCATGAAAGGTTTTATTGTTATACTCTTTCGGTATCATGAAATCTCGGCTTAAATTGCGGGAGAATGGTTGCAGATGAAGTCTTTGTTCTAACTTGTGTAATGCAGATACCTGACAGAGGTTTTGTTTCAAAAGCCGGTTATTGTCTATAACTACCCGAAAGGGATCAAAGCATTTTACATGAGACTTAACGATGACGGAAAGACGGTAGCTGCAATGGATGTTCTCGTCCCAAAGGTAAACCCTGTCTTCTCAAAGTCACAACCTTTTCCTTATTTCTTTAGCTTGTCTGCTCAAAGCTGTCATCTTTTTTTAAACCCGAACTTGTGTAACATCAGGTCGGGGAACTCATTGGTGGAAGCCAAAGGGAAGAG